TCCAGACTATACACACATACACACAATCCAGACTATACACACATACACACAATCCAGACTACACACACACAATCCAGACTACACACACACACAATCCAGACTACACACACACACAATCCAGACTGCACACAACGCAACCATGACTCTCGCCCGTGAATTAAAATTTACTGTAATCTCTGACACTGCAAAGCTGTGATATCTTGTATATCCACTTAACAAAATCCACTAGTGGATTTGTAGTTTGATTTACATTGAGAAAACAGTACTTTGGAGGCACTTTAAAATGACATACTATAGGACACAAGTAACACAAGATGGACCCTTGCTATGATGCCACGGAACACAGTTGAAAGACTTATTATACTACAGGAGGCTGTGCCCTAAACCCCTGACCTACTGTTATGAACAGTAAAATCAAGACTTTCACCACAGACCAGACTTTGGTTATGAACAGTAACCTCTGACCTACACTACACACCAGACCGAAGGCTATGAACAGTAACCTCTGACCCACATTGCACACCCGACCTAAGGCTATGAACAGTAACCTCTGACCTACACTACACACCAGACCTAAGGCTATGAACAGTAACCTCTGACCTACACTACACACCAGACCTAAGGCTATGAACAGTAACCTCTGACCTACACTACACACCAGACCTAAGGCTATGAACAGTAACCTCTGACCTACACTACACACCAGACCTAAGGCTATGAACAGTAACCTCTGACCTACACTACACACCAGACCTAAGGCTATGAACAGTAACCTCTGACCTACACTACACACCCGACCTAAGGCTATGTACAGTAACCTCTGACCCACATTGCACACCCGACCTAAGGCTATGAACAGTAACCTCTGACCCACACTACACACCAGACCTAAGGCTATGAACAGTAACCTCTGACCTACACTGCACACCACGACCTAAGGCTATGAACAGTAACCTCTGACCTACACTGCACACCACGACCTAAGGCTATGAACAGTAACCTCTGACCCACACTGCACACCAGACCTAAGGCTATGTACAGTAACCTCTGACCTACACTACACACCAGACCTAAGGCTATGTACAGTAACCTCTGACCCACACTGCACACCAGACCTAAGGCTATGTACAGTAACCTCTGACCCACACTACACACCAGACCTAAGGCTATGAACAGTAACCTCTGACCCACACTACACACCAGACCTAAGGCTATGAACAGTAACCTCTGACCCACACTACACACCAGACCTAAGGCTATGAACAGTAACCTCTGACCTACACTACACACCAGACCTAAGGCTATGAACAGTAACCTCTGACCCACACTACACACCAGACCTAAGGCTAAGAACAGTAACCTCTGACCCACACTACACACCAGACCTAAGGCTATGAACAGTAACCTCTGACCCACACTACACACCAGACCTAAGGCTAAGAACAGTAACCTCTGACCCACACTACACACCAGACCTAAGGCTATGAACAGTAACCTCTGACCTACACTACACACCAGACCTAAGGCTATGTACAGTAACCTCTGACCCACACTACACACCAGACCGAAGGCTATGAACAGTAACCTCTGACCCACACTACACACCAGACCGAAGGCTATGAACAGTAACCTCTGACCCACACTACACACCAGACCGAAGGCTATGAACAGTAACCTCTGACCCACACTACACACCAGACCTAAGGCTATGAACAGTAACCTCTGACCCACACTACACACCAGACCTAAGGCTATGAACAGTAACCTCTGACCCACACTACACACCAGACCTAAGGCTATGTACAGTAACCTCTGACCCACACTGCACACCAGACCTAAGGCTATGAACAGTAACCTCTGACCCACACTACACACCAGACACAAGGCTATGTACAGTAACCTCTGACCCACACTACACACCCGACCTAAGGCTATGAACAGTAACCTCTGACCTACACTACACACCAGACCTAAGGCTATGAACAGTAACCTCTGACCCACATTGCACACCAGACCTTAGGCTAAGAACAGTAACCTCTGACCCACACTACACACCAGACCTAAGGCTATGAACAGTAACCTCTGACCCACACTACACACCAGACCTAAGGCTATGAACAGTAACCTCTGACCCACACTACACACCAGACCTAAGGCTATGAACAGTAACCTCTGACCCACACTACACACCAGACCGAAGGCTATGAACAGTAACCTCTGACCCACACTACACACCAGACCGAAGGCTATGAACAGTAACCTCTGACCCACACTACACACCAGACCTAAGGCTATGAACAGTAACCTCTGACCTACACTACACACCAGACCTAAGGCTATGAACAGTAACCTCTGACCTACACTACACACCAGACCTAAGGCTATGAACAGTAACCTCAGACCTACACTACACACCAGACCTAAGGCTATGAACAGTAACCTCTGACCCACACTACACACCCGACCTAAGGCTATGAACAGTAACCTCTGACCTACACTACACACCAGACCGAAGGCTATGAACAGTAACCTCTGACCCACACTACACACCACGACCTAAGGCTATGAACAGTAACCTCTGACCTACACTGCACACCACGACCTAAGCTTTGAACAGTAACCTCTGACCTACACTGCACACCACGACCTAAGCTTTGAACAGTAACCTCTGACCTACACTGCACACCACGACCTAAGGCTATGAACAGTAACCTCTGACCCACACTGCACACCACGACCTAAGCTTTGAACAGTAACCTCTGACCTACACTGCACACCAGACCTAAGGCTATGAACAGTAACCTCTGACCCACACTGCACACCACGACCTAAGCTTTGAACAGTAACCTCTGACCTACACTACACACCAGACCTAAGGCTATGAACAGTAACCTCTGACCTACACTACACACCAGACCTAAGGCTATGAACAGTAACCTCTGACCCACACTACACACCAGACCTAAGGCTATGAACAGTAACCTCTGACCTACACTACACACCAGACCTAAGGCTATGAACAGTAACCTCTGACCTACACTACACACCACGACCTAAGGCTATGAACAGTAACCTCTGACCTACACTGCACACCACGACCTAAGCTTTGAACAGTAACCTCTGACCTACACTGCACACCACGACCTAAGGTTTGAACAGTAACCTCTGACCTACACTGCACACCACGACCTAAGGCTATGAACAGTAACCTCTGACCCACACTGCACACCAGACCTAAGGCTATGAACAGTAACCTCTGACCTACACTGCACACCACGACCTAAGGCTATGAACAGTAACCTCTGACCTACACTGCACACCAGACCTAAGGCTATGAACAGTAACCTCTGACCTACACTGCACACCACGACCTAAGGCTATGAACAGTAACCTCTGACCCACACTGCACACCACGACCTAAGCTTTGAACAGTAACCTCTGACCTACACTGCACACCACGACCTAAGCTTTGAACAGTAACCTCTGACCTACACTGCACACCACGACCTAAGGCTATGAACAGTAACCTCTGACCCACACTGCACACCAGACCTAAGGCTATGAACAGTAACCTCTGACCCACACTGCACACCAGACCGAAGGCTATGAACAGTAACCTCTGACCCACACTACACACCAGACCTAAGGCTATGAACAGTAACCTCTGACCCACACTGCACAAAAGACCTAAGGCTATGAACAGTAACCTCTGACCTACACTGCACACCAGACCTAAGGCTATGAACAGTAACCTCTGACCTACACTGCACACCAGACCTAAGGCTATGAACAGTAACCTCTGACCTACACTGCACACCAGACCTAAGGCTATGAACAGTAACCTCTGACCCACACTACACACCAGACCTAAGGCTTTGAACAGTAACCTCTGACCTACACTACACACCAGACCTAAGGCTATGTACAGTAACCTCTGACCCACACTACACACCAGACCTAAGGCTATGAACAGTAACCTCTGACCTACACTACACACCAGACCTAAGGCTATGAACAGTAACCTCTGACCCACACTACACACCAGACCTAAGGCTATGTACAGTAACCTCTGACCCACACTACACACCAGACCTAAGGCTATGTACAGTAACCTCTGACCTACACTACACACCAGACCTAAGGCTATGAACAGTAACCTCTGACCTACACTACACACCAGACCTAAGGCTATGAACAGTAACCTCTGACCCACACTACACACCAGACCTAAGGCTATGAACAGTAACCTCTGACCCACACTACACACCAGACCTAAGGCTATGAACAGTAACCTCTGACCCACACTACACACCAGACCTAAGGCTATGAACAGTAACCTCTGACCCACACTACACACCAGACCTAAGGCTATGAACAGTAACCTCTGACCCACACTGCACACCAGACCTAAGGCTATGAACAGTAACCTCTGACCCACACTGCACACCAGACCTAAGGCTATGAACAGTAACCTCTGACCCACACTGCACACCAGACCTAAGGCTATGAACAGTAACCTCTGACCCACACTACACACCAGACCTAAGGCTATGAACAGTAACCTCTGACCCACACTACACACCAGACCTAAGGCTATGAACAGTAACCTCTGACCCACACTACACACCAGACCTAAGGCTATGAACAGTAACCTCTGACCCACACTACACACCCGACCTAAGGCTATGAACAGTAACCTCTGACCCACACTGCACACCAGACCTAAGGCTAAGAACAGTAACCTCAGACCTACACAACACTTTGGGGGACCTCAAACCATGAACAGTAAAATTGGCCTACACAACATCCCTGACATAATGTTATAAACAGTAATCTCAGACCTTTGCCACACCTTGGACTTAAGGTTATGAACAGTAATCTCAAATCTACACCACAGCCCAGACATGAGGTCACGAATTGTAAAAACTCAACGCTCCACTACACCCAAGACCTAAGTTATGACCTAAGATAATGAACAGTAACAACTAACACATATCTACCTTGTTCAGGAGGTTAATTTTAGTAACCGTGTTTGTTTCCCCTGAATGCTTCACGAGCAAAGCAATCAGCCGCACAAATGCATCCAGAGTGTAGAAACACTTCGCCCGAATCATTGTGGTGGAGTGACCGGGTTCACCAAGTGCACGATAGCACAGGTCCACACACATCTCTGTGCACAGGCGGAAGAAACGGGTGATGAGGTCATCAGTCTTCAGAATGCCTTGTGTGTGCATCTATAGAAAGTTTCAAACCGTTAATCAGATATTTGTTTTCTTTTCTTTCACATTAAATTTTAAAATGTTTGTCATATAATGCGTCTCTTTCAATCTCTTCTATTCTACTAAATTTACCTAGTCTTGTAAAGCTTCTTCTTCTTCTTCAAGTTCACCTGCTGTAAACTCCAGCTCTAGTTGTTTGTCCACCTCTGGACTTTGGTCTTGTTCCAGAACCTGAGTGTTGCATGCACATCCATTTTACAGATCTGACTTATCTGTATGCAGACTGTTGGTTCCTTGCCTCTCAGGTAGGTGCACTCACAACTCTGTAGGAAGCTCCTATTTAGTCAACTGTCACAACATGCTTGTTGGGGAGGCAGTAGATCCATTCTTGTTTGCCCCCTAATGGAGCCCCGGAATCCACACGGGGATAGTTTCTTTTCAATTGGACTTTGCCATTCTTCTCTTCTGTCAACTTTTCTTCACCTCATCATGTCCTTTACGGGACATTGCTCTTGTCACGGCATGCTTGAAAGTCTGTCTGTCGTCACCAGCCCCATGTGTTTTCATAGCCAATGTATCTTCAGCGTCTTGTACCCACATTTGCAGAGGTCTGCCTCTGCCCTGTTGTCTATTAAAGGTACCCTCCCCCATCATTGTTCTCTTCACCTACCAGTTTTCAAAAGACTTAAAATACAGACCAGAGAATAAGAAACATAAATGAGCAAAGCAGGGACAAGAAAAGTTGCAGAAACAGACACACACAATTGGAGAGCTTAGTGTGGGTTCATTAAGGGCTAATGTTCATCAGGAGGGAGACTGACAGAAGAACAAGAAAAGACATACAAGAAAAAAGGTAAAACAGAAGGGAAGAATAGAGGAAAGAAAGGGGAAAAGCTGAGTAAAATGGAACAAGACACCTAAGCCTGTCATAACATACCTGTTGAACAAATGCATTAAAGGCTTTGAAACTGTCCCGTCCGGCCTGCGGAGAATGGTACATGGTCACCCACTCCCTGAGCAAGAACTCAGTTTTCTCATGCAGACCCTGGGGGTCATCAAACTCCCGCGCCTGGGTGATGCCAGTCTGCATCATGGTGGTGACACTGCCTGACACACGGTCCATGAGGCTGCCGGAGTCTGAACTGGTGCTGCTGCCTCGCAAGGACTCAATGAGGGCCGGGAGGCTCTCGTGTTGGGGCTGTCTAGATCTGGAGCCAATCATATTCAGGGCTTCAATGCTGTTGCTGAAGTCAGACTGCAGATAGAAGACAAAGTGTCCCAATGTTAGATAACAGCCCAGTGATGCTTGGGTGTGAAAACACAGGTTGCAGCACAATAGTATAATGCAGTGGGTTCATTCCAAGACTGTGCTGTTCAGTTAACGGGTGAAATTCTTATGCAGGTCCCTGGGAATCGTCACCGGAGCTACTAAGTTCGTGCTTTGTGCAAAAATCTCAGCCATTCTGCAGAGAGAGACTGAGCCATATGGAATAAAACCTGATGTAACGAAGACGATCCTTTAGACTGAGAGAGAGAGAGAGAGAGAGAGAGAGAGAGAGAGAGAGAGAGAGAGAGAGAGAGAGAGAAAGAGAGAGAGAAAGAGAGAGAGAGAGAGAGAGAGAGAGAGAGAGAGGAGAGAGAGAGAGAGAGAGAGAGAGAGAGAGAGAGAGAGAGAGAGAGAGAGAAATCGAGAGAGAGAGAGCATGTGTGAGAAAGTGTGAGTATGTGCGTGCGTGCATGAAGGGGAAACCATCAACCAAGACTAAAACAGAAAGCCATGACACTGGGCAACAACCTGGTTTCAGTCTGATGGCAAAAAACAAAAACAAAGAAGAAACCCTAATAAGGCGATTTTTACATGCTTTTTTTATCAGAAGGCAGAGGGACAATTTATCACCTCCCCCACTCCTCCTAAATGGGGTTTCCAGAGCCCAAAAGGGGGACCTGCAAGTGATGAAACTCACCTCAGAAAATACCTGCTGCTGGCCCTGTGGTTGAGACTTGTCCTCCATGCACAACCGCTGCATCAGCTGGGTGGCAAAATTGATGCCCGTCTGGTTGAGTCCGTTCTCCATCAGGGATGAGAGGTAGACATCGTACTGCTGCATGTTCACAAACCCACTGCGGATCAGAAGTTCCACAACGTCCAGATTGTAGCGAGTGTCCTCCCGGCTCTGCATCAAGCATCTGGGATATAGAGAGAGTACAACAATAAGCTTAAAAGTTAGGCATCAATGACAATTTCTCTGACATGCTTCTTCCAAGTATATCACTTGCTTTTTTTTTTCCAGTCATGGTCCCAGCTAAACAGATAAAGGAACCAAAAATTTGAAATACTGAGTGATAGGGTTAGATATTTTTTATTTTGTAGACTATGAAAAGCATTTGATTAAAGTGAAAATTAAACCAGAGATAGAAATGAGAATCCAACAAGCCAATAATGTCACATGCCAACTTTCTCCAATTTAAAAACCCCAACAGAGACAAAAAGACAATTATAAATACAATATTTATACCAACTTTAGGTTACCAATGTAAGACTTGGACAATGACAAAAGAACACTAAAGAAAACGAACCACCTATGAGATGAGATTTTTTAGAACGGCTGGGAATTAGACCAGAAAAGATAGAGTGAGAAACAACGTGATCAAAAGAACTGTTGGAACAACACCCACTGTCAAATTTATTGAGAAAACAAAGAATTAAATTTAAATAATGCGGAAACAAACAAGACATACAATACTCTGTAGTAACGCACCTATTGAGATACAGCGAAATATGCCTGGCATAAATTGTGCCATGTATTGTTTGTATCCACATTATTTAAATTCATTACGGGAAAAGAATTAAATGTTTGGTCATCTAATGAGCATGAAACCAATTATGCCAGCAGCAAGAGCGTGCAACCTGAAAATCGAAACACCAAGAGGCAGGGGAAAGACTGAGAAAAAGAGGGACTGAAGAAGCCACAGACAACATAACATCATGGCTTATCAAACAACAGAGCACACTTTGGCTCATGTGCGCCGCTTAGTGGCATGAGCAGATATTGACAAAAGAAAGAAACAAACAAGGAATAGCTAAAATGTTGTAAATTAATATGGTTCAGACGTGTCAAGACTTACATCATACAGTGAGCCACAGAGAGCTCCATCACTTAGAGTCAACAAAAGTGGCTCTAGAAGTCGACCAGACAAGCGATGGATAGATGGAATCTCCTAAGCAGTAACTTCTAGCATCTACGTAGCACATACAAAGCAAGACTCACACCCAATGCCTGGCACTGAAAGGTAAAACAGGACTAGAGGAGAAGGAGGCATAGAGAACAGATTTAACCTGTATGGAATCCTCCTATTGTTTCCAAATGTTTACCTTGTGACTTCCTTACTGACCCAGGGCATGCCGAAAGCCCTGTGCTCAGAGAAGGTCTTCAGCACCAGCATGTGGCATTCCCTGAACCTCAGCAATGTTTCCCCGTCTGCCATGGTGGTCATAGTGTACTGCTCTGTGAGACCTTCAACAGCCTGTGGAAAGTGGATGCAGACAAGCCATGCCATTAACCCAAGCAATGGATATTTGTGTTAAAAAAAATACATTTATGTTCATGCTAATACTAAGATGGTTTAGGCAGACAGAGAGAACTGCAAATAACAAAGACCAATAATGAGTAAACAGAGACAAATAATGAGTAAACAGATACAAATAATGAGTAAACAGAGTTGAATGGAAGCAGACCATGTGACAGACTAAGATGACGACGGAGAGATAAAATACGGCAGATCTACAACATGGGATTTGGAAGTGGATCATGGACAGTTAGCCGCCTTGGCGAAAAATTTTGTGCAAGCTGCAGAAGTCACTTTATATAAAATCATGAAAACACTGGAGTCGTATGATTAATAACAGTAATGCAGATGTTTTGAAAGACATCAACTCACATACAGAACTGACTACCCACACCACATTTGGTGACATAATGAGAAAGAGAAAACTGGGAGTACACTGCGTCAGTAAGGAAATTTCTGGATTGTGCCAGGACTAATTGTTTATTCAAAAGTTTTTTTTTCAAATGAGACAGTGAAGGACATTTCATTTGATTTTCACTGGCACAGAACCGAACAGGTGTGGGGAAAACCTGACTGCAGTGAAGTTGAAACCTTGACTAAGACTAAGTGGGAAAGTTAAAAGGGAAAAAGAAGCAGACAGAAGATGTCATAGTTTGACATCATGGGATAAAGGAAAATTTGTGTCGGAAATAACAAAAGTACATGAGACGGTGGATAGGCATTATTACCAAGAAACATAAAATGTAATAAGCCAGCGATATTCAACTGGTGGCCAATGGGCAATCTCGTCATGAATCAGCAGGTCTTGTACAGAAAACCACTCTCTTCTTTCTCCAACCAATTCTGCAGCCATGTAAGCTTATACTCCCAGCTAATGCATCGTCACTGTCTTCGATCAACTTTGGCAAAGGTCAGATTTTGTACCGTTTTCCAGAAACTACATCCTCCAGGCCTGTTCTCTCCGGGCACCATAACATTTTAACATGGCCAAAATACCTCAGCTTGTGGGACAGGATGTAGTCGACTTCATCTTTATTTTGTTTGCTGATAAGGACAAAATAAAACTTTCTAGTTCATATATTCTTGTAAAGCAGAACCATTATTCTTTCTTTTCCTTCAAAATATTTCTTCCCTGTCTGTGTTACCATTTAAAAAGGTATTGTAGTGTACAATTATGCTGCGATACCTGACCTTACAGCACAGCATATCCAATTTCAGCAAAAGCTAAGTTAGTCTATTATGGCATACTTGTTAGGGGCCAGTGGATCGGATTTAATCCCCAACCCTCCAAAGGTATACCCTATATACAAGACTATTCGTACTGTCTTACCTTCTGCACCAGCTGGGCAGCAGAGGCTCTGTCCAAAGTGTTACGGGCAACTGTTATTGCCTGCATGAGCTGCTGCAGATGAGGCAGGAACATACTTGGGTTGGCCATCAAGTGAATATGGGATTCGATCTCACTGACCATCTTCTCATAGATAAGGCTCATTTCTTCATGGCCAGTCATCTAGAGAACAAAGTCAAAAGTTAATAAATCAACAAATATGAATGCAGCGGAAACATTAAGAACTAAAGCAATTACTAATAAATTACAGAAATTCATTAACCAGTGCTTGCATTTGAAAGAGAACAAAAATTACAAGATGAAGACACGATGCTGGCGCTGGATAAGACACACTCCGAGAAACCTGAGAACAATATAACTAGAATGTCTTTGCAATGGAACCCGAAGGGGCATAGACATAAAGGCAGATCCCATGGGCAGGGAGCTAGAGAGTAAAGTTACAAAGATAGATAGGATAGGTGAATCGCATGTAACAGCAAAGGATAGAATGAGCTGGTTGATGTTGTATGTTCCATTGGGTGGGTGGGGACTTTAATAGGGCAGAAGAGAAGAGAGAATGTGAATGCAGCAAAGGCAGGAGAGTCAGTATGGAGATTAAAGGTAGTGACAGAACTGCAGGCATCAATGTGTATTAGGAAAAAACAGCCCTGGAAAGACTCACAACCCTTGAAAGGGGGATGGGGAACGGGATGTCAGCCTCTCAATGAGCAGTCAGCATGCTGTAGTTTACAGCCACTTGCCTACCAGATCACTGTGTCACAGGCTAATATACCCTTAAGAGGCCAGTAGGGTCTGGTATCAGAACTCACAGGGACTTAATGCTTTCTGCAAACAGATAAAACACCTCAAGTTCTAGAAACTTAGTGCTCCATCGGTTTGTTCCTAGAATCTAGGTAGTGGCTACCTGGCAGAGATCTAGAGCAGTAGAGTATTTCAAGCCAAATATGAAGCCTTCAAAAGATTACAGAAAGCACTGTCAGTTTCCTTTAAAACCACAAACAATGTGCCTTTGGTGCTTTAAAAACAAAAACAAATACGTTCTGACAGATAACTTTTTTATCTTGATGTGAAACAGACCAACAACAACAGAAAGTCACTGACAAAATCAACCTTCACTTTAAAAAAAAAACAAGCAGGCCTACTCACGCCTGTTGGGCGAGATCCAGATGGTAGCAGTTGGTCTGTGAGAGGCTGAAATCCTGGGATGTTGCGAGCAAACTCATCGTACACTGCCAGCTGTTGTGCAGTAACTGAACCAACCTAATGTGAAAACCAAAAAAAAATTTAAGCTTGAGAAAGACAGTCCTGACATGGGTTACATTCTACAACAATGACAACAGACAACACATGAACTCATCCACTATTAAACTACTCATAATGAAACTGTTAGGTTCCGCATACATTATAGCAGGTTCACAAACTATGGGTTGCGGCCCCATATGGGGAACAACTAATTTTGTTTTCAAAGAATTGTTTCAGGAAATATTTAGGGGTCGACTTTTTGTTTTAGCATTCTTGAGACAAAAGCGTTACAGAGCAACAGGTGAAATGGTCTGTCCATTTGACAAGCATGTCCTGATACCAACTGCCACACAGCCAAGGTGGACAAATATCAACAAAGAACGGGAGGAAGACCACGCTCAAGATGGAAAAAGAACATTAAAAACAGCTTGTTAAAATGCTGATCAATTTATAAAACACACCAGACACAACAAACATCAACCCTCAACACTCTGATGTGGAAAGAAGATATTTCTAAATGGTCATAAATCTTTGAATACCAAGGAGCGCACCACATGTTCATTGGTTACGCTATATGTGGTACACATTTCTTTACCTGTCCTATCTCATTCTTCTGTTATGTTAACCTTTTATTTTCTTGCTGTTACTGTAACACTTTCTCTCTAAAAGCTGTAACTTTTGGCCTTATGAGACAAATGATGAGAATATCCTCAATAAAGAGTAATGAGAATGTCTTGAAAGAAACTGATTAACCACATCAGAAAGAGACAATCTACATTCTTTGGTCATGTGACGAGAAGAAGAAAACTGGAGTACACCATAGTGGTAGGAATGTTGAAGGAGAGGAGAGTCAGGGGGAGCCTGGGAGAAAAGGTCCTGGACAGTTTGACATCATGACATGAAGGATCATCTGTGTCAGATTTGACTGAAAGTATCGGAGACAAGGTTGTAGACAAACATGACTACCAAAACCAAACGGCATGGCTTTTAAGAAGAAGAAGAAGAAGAAAATGAGACTAAAACCTTGTTCTAGGATACAAAAACATTTGCACAGACATTGTTGAATTCAACAAAACCCAGTACTGAAAGAGTTGAGAAAAATGTAAGAATAAAACCCCCCTCAGTGAAGCATGTATGTGGGTGGAGGCACAATTCATGTTTCAGTAAACTATTAGAAAAATGGGGCCCAGATAAAATACATATCATCATCATCTTCTTCACGTTCACCAGCTGTAAATTCTGATTGAAAGTTCTGGTTTTTCATCCACCTCTGGACTTCTTCGAGAAGCTGAGTGTTGCATGTACATTCGTTTTACAGATCTTACATATCAGTATGCAGACTATTGGTTTCTTGCCTCTCCAGCAGATGCACTCCGACTCTAAAGCTTACCCCTAATGAGTCGATTCTTACAAACATGCCCAATTCTTGTTTTCCCTGTAAAAATTATACGCATCATACCTTGAGCCTAATCTGTTCCGGAACTCTCTCCGCCTGGTAGGTTAGTACCTGGGGATCACAGTAACGTCGGCCCTCTTGGCGAGCTGCTTTACGGGCTTCAAATTCCTAAGAGACAAGAAAGAAAGCTTCAATATGGATAAATAATTGTTACAGAAGAATCATATAAGGATATATCTGCACTGAATGATAGAAAACATTTCGCTGGGATCTCACTCAGTGAAGTATGTGTTACTGAGAATGGATGTTTAGGGCTGATATTTTGTTCAAAGACCAAGACATTTTTTGTCAGAAAAATTTACTCACAGATCAAAACGTTCTAGAAAAGAGGGGTTTGAAAACCAGACAGTGTTACTGCATTCATTAGAAAAAGCACAAATATATAGTCACTGCTGCCATCCACATAAAAGAAAAACCAGACATATACTAACTATTGCCACCCTATGAAAAAAACATTTAAAAACTCATACACAAATACTCACAGGTGCCAGTTTTTTATCCATCTCTGCACCAACTCTCTCCACTGCCAGTTTCTGGATGTAGTTGGCACATATCTCCACATTATCATTTGCCAAGATGACAGAGCTTTCTTCAATGTTCTTCATCTGAGCAGCTGACGGTTGCTGTGAAAAGATACACAACTTTAGCAATGCATGCACAATTGTTTAGCTTTTCTCAAAGGTTTGTTTGGTCGTCTGGTCAGGATGGGACAAACTCAGCCAGCAGCTGCAGAATTCTACAAGAGAACAGCACGCCCAATATAGCGCACAAAGTCAAGAGGCCGACCAAGAAACAGATGGGTTAGTTAGTTAGTTAGTTAGTTAGTCTTTCCTCTTGTGTCGAGTGCGGCACATAGGGCAGAGGTCATGACTCTCCATGCATGGCGGTCCGTTGCAATCCGTTGTAGGTCTTGGATGTTTGAGTGGCCCATGAGCGAGCCGTCCCTGATGATAGTTCTACGTAAAGTTTCCCTTGGTCTTCCACGAGATCTTTTCCCCTGTAGTGTCCAAATGAGGGCTTGGTAAGGAAACAGATGGGTGGAGGGAGTAAAAGACAACACTACAGAAATGCAATATGCCATGAACACAAACTACGCAACAAGTAAAAGACAGGAAAATGCATCAAACTGTTCTCTGTTACAGCATAAGCAGTAGGACACAAGAAGAATTGTTTCTATGTCTAACAACTTTTAAAGTAAAAGATACTTTTGTACGCCAAAGGCACACTGGGTGCCAGATTAATTGTCACATAAGTGAGGCGGTCAACATCACTCCAGCTGCTTTTACTTCCTGGAAATTTTCTGGTACCCATTAAAAGCTGAGTCGGCCTGGGAGGGGTCAATCATTAAAAGCTGACTCAATGTGAATTTGTGCACTTTGAATTTTAGATCTTTGGGCTAGCAGACAAGAGTGAAGATGACTTCTATCAAATGCATGCTGAATAATACTTACTGCTGATCATTTTTTTAAAAATCATCAGCAAAAATACTAAATTGGCGTACAATCGTCCAGCATTTTCAACAATGCAAACAAGGAACATAAGATTACTTGTGTGCAGGAGGTTCAAGAGAGACTGTGAAAGCCTGTGAACATACATCTGACTGTGCCCATTGTACATAACAGCAAATAATATTCAACTTCACACCACGCTCTGTCAACTGGGATTTCCTGGCTGTGATGGGTTAAATTCATAACTCGTCGTCTTTTCCCACATAGTTTCCAGTGTTTTTCACAACCTTAAAGCTTTAACATACTGTTACACTGGGTTTTCCACGTCTCCAAGTACGTAACAACCTCTAGTTACTTATGTAATGCTGCAAACAGATCTGCTAGCTCTGCACTTTTTGCCAACAGATTTGATCTCAGACATTTCCACTTACCCCTCTGAAGTTGCTGACCAGTGCAGCTTGGATTGAGAGCTTCAGCTGCTGGACCATGGGCTCCCGAGAGGTGATCAGAGCCAGTCCAGCACAGATGTTACGAGCCATGGCCTGGGATGAGTTCCGCATGCGGATTTCATCAGAGTCCAGAGCAAAGTCCTGTTACAGAACGGAGAACGTGGTCAGCAGAGAATATATACTAAACTAAGAATTACAACCGTGTAACAAATAGTATAGTGAGAAGATAATCATATAAGGTAAGTTAAAATCCAAACAGCAGGCGAGTTGCTTGAATAATTATCTGAAATGACACAAATGAAGGGTTTCATTGGTGCAAGGACTAATTTGGCGCGGAAAATCAAAGATGTACCAAACAAACTGTCCATACTGCCTATATTTACCAGTTGCAGTTTGTCAAATCCAGGATTGTAGTATGTGTGATCAACACCCTAAGCATGAGAATCCTACATGCACAAACCATGGTAAACCCCATTTAACCATAAGGTTAAACTGGGGCACCCGCCAGTTACTAGGTAGCCTCAAGTCCAACATGGGCCTGTATTTACCAGCTTTAAGGGTACTGTGTGACAAGGCTGGGGAATTTCACGAGCCTGAGAATTTAGAGCCAAGAGGCTAATGCAGTTGCAACAAACTGTGCAGGTTAGAATGTTTATTTTTGCCCCAGAAAGACCAAGATTATAGGGATTTACATTGGTACACCATCTGGGATATGCAGGAGTGCGAGGGAATAAGTGTGTGGATTTTTAAGCTACAGAAGCGATATAAATGGGAACACTTGTACCGAACAAAGGAGACAGTCTAAAGACCATTCTGAATGAATGCAGACAGAAAACATAAGGTTGTGTGAAATAAGATGTGTAAGAATGTGTGGAGGTTGAATTAGGAGTGGAACCAGCAAGGATGAATGGATGAAAGGAAGAGAACAAGGTGTGTACAAGCAGTGTGCTAAGTAAACAGCATCTACACCTCAAAATATTTTCTAGTTTGTTACCGCTATATCTGTATAAGATTGCTCTTTCTAGTGCCCTTGTTGCCTTGTGGGAGAGCGTCTACAGTTTGGAGGAGCAAATGGATTACCATAATCTGGTGAGATTGATGCAGCAGGGAGTGACAAGGGGTTCTGGAGATGTTTGAGGTTCAGAGGAAAGACAAGATGGACGTTTAATCAAAATGCTACTGGCACCATTAGTATCGGAACTCTGCACTGGCTGCTGAAGATGGGGATGAGGCGTTTAAAGGAATGCCATGAGTGCTGTGATATCGGTTCTTGAATCAACCTAACTCAACTCTGTAGTGCCCTGTCTGATGTCAATCTTGTTACATGGCAAAACCATTTGATTTGCTGCCTACCTATAAAGTTCTGTGTTGGTTCCTTCAGCTCATGGGAAAAAACAACAAACAAAAGCAGACAATGACATTTCAGAATAAAGCAAAACAAACCTTCTTCACAATCTGTTCTGTGGTGGCGACAGCAACTTTGATAGCCCTATCAGTGATCGGACCAATGAAGTCTTGCATGGTGTTCTCGATAGCCCCAATTACACTGTTCCTCAGTGGAAGGTTGGCCTGGATGTACATCACCTGTAGACAAAGTTTCACCTTTGAGCAGTCTACAAATGAATGCAATGTTCCTCTGTTATAAATCCAAACAAAGAAGTCACAAACAACCGATATCAAAATGTAATGCCTGACATGCCTAGCTGTAAAGCCAATGATACTGGCCTGGATTCCATCCAAAACTGTACAGGAGAAAATACCCCTGATTAGTCGCCTTTGATAACATACTTAATGGGGATAGGGGAGCAGTGGGTTTATGATGTGTACCCAATAGCAGAAAAAAAAAATATTCAATTTCCCCCATTCTATGTCACTTAAGATTTCCTGGCTATAGTGGGCAAAATTCAAGATTTGTTTGCCTTTTCCCACATATTTCCCAGGGTTTTTCACTACCTTAAAGTTCTAAGATACTGTTACATGGTTTCCGAGTCCAAGGACACTGGTGAAGTGAAGAGAGTTAGTTAGGATAGATGGAAACTCATGCTTTGATGTCTCAACTTCTGTTATGCCCATGTGACCCGCAACAACTAGGCACAAAGTAAATTATTAGCATTCCTTATTTCATTACAGAGAACTGCCTTTTAAACAAAAAATCTTTTTAAATCAGGCCTGATAAAGGGGAGCTGGACAGCTGAGGTTCTAAATGTGTTACGATAGTAAGCAAATGATCAGATACAACAAGTCAGGCAATAAATTGAGCATTCTGTTCTTTGTGTCTATTTTGTTCAATATATAAATGTTCAATTTTGCTTGATCCTTCCTGTATGGATTCCTAGGCACCAACTGGGGTCAAAATAGAGGGTGTGTCCTTTGAAGTCAGAGCCCATCCGCCTGAAAGAAGAGGAGCTAACAGTCTGCATAGTACAGGGCACAGGAAACTGACAAACCAGACGACGGATGAGCTGCTCTAAATCAAACATTTTTGGCTATCCACGTGTCCTTGCAATCTTTTTTTTCCCTTCCCTTTTATAGGTCAGGGTACTGGAAGACTAAAGAGACGGGGCGGAGGGACAGCCTGGTCAGATGACTAGAACAATCGTTTCCAGAATAAATAGGAGGACGATGCAGAAGCCGACAAGGACAAGATAAAGAAAATGAGAATAAAGAAGCAGACAAGAACAAAAAGGAAGAAGAACCGGTGTTTTCTCCCCGACTTAAGCTATCAAAGTCTGGCTATGCTCTCAGGTGTCTGTTTCTCTTTCACCTCCTGCTTGGGAGTGTGCTTCCGCTGCTTCCTGTCACTTCCTGATAGGAGGCTTATTCCTGAAACAGACTACACCAGCATCTTCTTCAGTGTCTCTTGTCAAGGACAATGATAAAGAAAAAAAAAAAAGAAACGGTTTCATTCCCATAATGAAGATAAACAATAAAACTACCTGGAACAGAAAGAAAAAGAAAAGCTGCTGACTTACATGTTCATTGATAACAATGTGTTGCTGCAGGAAGGCGGTCAAAGAACTGGTGTTGATGTCATGAATGCTGAACTTGGGTTGCAAGTACATCGAACCCACCGACGGAGCTGTGGACACTGGAGGGCCCACAGAAGGCGGGGGTGGGATGGTGGTGATGCTGGCAGGCGGCGGCGGGATGTGCGGTGAGATGGGCATCCCAGCAATCATTGGAAGAGGAAGAGGAGGGTTGGTGATGCCAGCAGTCTGCACAGGTTCTTCCTGGGGTTTGACAGGCGACAGCTGGTGTTCCAACGTCTGCATCCTCGTAGGGTCTCGGAGGTACTTGGTTGGCTTCAGCTCGGTGGCGATGTCAATGTTCAGCGTCTTACACAAGACCTCAATCTCAAACTTCAAGTTCAGTTTCAGGTCATTCTCCTGGTGCAGCTCTGCCAAGACATTCATGATAGACAGCATCCATGGGTTGGGTTTACAGAAAATCTGCACCAGAGAGAACCAAAAGTACACATTTAAAATGCTGCATGAGACCGAAACTGTTCGTTAGTTTTAATCAGATGTTATTTTTCTGTGTGTTTGCTACTTTAGTCTTCTTCACTTCTTTTTAGTACTCACTGGCTGTAAACTCCAGTGGAAAATTATGATTGTTTCTCGACTTTGGTTCCAGAACTTGAGTTTTGCATGCACATCTGTTTTACAGATGTCTTTTTTCTATGCAGACTGTTGGTTCCTTGCCTCTTAGGCAGATTCACTCTGACTTCAAAGGAGTAATCCCTGGTCATCTTTTATGACATGCTTGTTGGTGGGGGGGGGGGGGGGGGGAACTCCTGTGGATCTAAATATATTTCTCCCCAAAAAAGGGCCCTGAGATACACATGGGGATCCATTCTAGTGGAACCAGTTGACCTGGGATACACATGGGGACCCATTCTAGTGAAACCAGTTGACCTGGGATACACATGGGGATCCATTCTAGTGAAGCCAGTTGACCTGGGAAACACATGGGGAACCACTCTAGTAAAGCCAGTAGACCTGGGATACACATGGGGACCCACTCTAGTAAAGCCAGTTGACCTGGGATACACATGGGGACCTACTCTAGTGAAAGATGACTGAATAATCATCTAAGAAATTAACGTTAGTGCTTTTAGACAAGGCATATTGCATTAGCAGTGGTATTAAATTTTTTTAACATTTGATGAAATAGCCAATACAACAAACAAACAAAGAATTGTTGCCGATAATTTCCTTGTAATATTTTTAAAAAATCATTTGCACAACCTTTGGAAACATTTTTTTTTTCAAGTTTCTTCTGCAACAATCAAATTTGCTCTGCATCTATTCCAGCGTGGTTACAAACAGCACTTTGAACTTGTTCACCAGTGCCCCAGTCTGTGGGCTAGAATTTCTTCTCTCTGATGGCAACAATCCGACTACCAATCCTGTAAACTTATTCTGAAGTTCACTCGGCTGCACCAAAGGTTATTACTAATGAACATGTTTACTTTTATTTATGTACATTTTTAATACAGAAGCTACCAAGACAAGATTACCGTACTTTGCTCTTAACACATGACTTCAGGAGTTTAGACATAAATGGCACAACATACAGAAGTTATAAAGCTAAGATTACTTTACCTTGCTCTTAGCACAGGACTCCAAGACTTTAGCTGTAAACGGCACAAAATACAGAAGTTATGAAGCTAAGATTATGTTACCTTGCTCTTAGCACAGGACTCCAGAACTTTAGCTTTAAATGGCACAACATACAGAAGTTATAAAGCTAAGATTATGTTACCTCGCTCTTAGCACAGGACTCCAGAACTTTAGCTACAAATGGCACACCATACAGAAGTTATAAAGCTGAGATAACGTTACCTTGCTCTTAGCACATGACTCCAAGACTTTAGCTGTAAACGGCACAACATACAGAAGCTCCTGATTGCCCTTCTGGTAGGCCTCATAGACGAGAGCTTTCAAATTTAGATCCTGGAATGAAAAAATGTATTTCATGAAATAAAGTGTGAATTACATTTAGTAAAACAGTAAAAATAGTTGAGTTTTCCTTTGATGTATTGTACGTTATTTACGCATGCTCAGTCCCTGCATTTGCCAGTTTGCTGTCTCATATGCCCCAACAGCAGTGTACACATGTTCACACAGCAGAAGTTGTTGAAAAAAGTTGAGTCTGAATCTGTCTAACTGATCTGTTGTTAGATCTTCAGTTTCACACTGACTAACCTGGATTCATACATTCATAAAAGATACAAGTTGTACGTTACTCAAATGGTTTGTCATCTAGCAAATATGTGATCATATGCAAGGGGAGCCAAATGAGTCTGTTAGAAGCTTGTTGTAAAATATACATAGTATATGTAAAGGCATTGAAATGGGAAGCAGAAGAAGCCAGGAAACAAAGACATGGATGAGAAACCCCTGGGGCCAACAATGGTCTGAGGTTTGATCACACCACCCACCAAGTGCCGTTTGGTCTATAGAATACAGGTCTAGCCCTATACACCAAATTCGCGGGAAAAGGTATGGAAAAGGGCCCTTTATTTTTACTTTACTTAGAGACAGAAGCAGAAGTCTCATCTCTTTGCAAGACCACATCATCAATGACAAGGTATGTACTAGAATTATCCAGCGTGTGACAACTCTGAACCTCTTTTAACTACAGGGACAAGCGGGAAACTCAAGGGTATGGACTTGTAACATAGATCTAACAGCCTCTTAAAAGCAGTACTATATGGCTCAGTAGAGGGAAATAGGAGAGTAGACAAAGAAAGACCTAGATATATGACTGACTGATCGGGCCTTATGCATCATGACACACGGGTAATAACCCATAAGTGCTCCATTCTTCTTCTAACTCAAGCCTGAGTCCGAAGAAGCTCAGCACAGTGCACAGGCTCTGTAGCACTGATTTCCAACTGCTAGGGGATTTTTTACGTGTGCAACAATGCACATGATGGGCGTCTGATCTCACTACCTAGAGACCAGGGGGAATTACTGGAAGTTCAAGTCCACGTGAAAAAATACCAGCTATTACCAGGGCTTGAACCCGGAACCTCCAACACTCAAGGCGGACACCATGCCTCGAGGCCATGCAGCCCCCTAAACAATAAAAAGAGAGGCCAAAGGTGTTGGACTGGATACCATCCATGATACCGAAGTGACTCCTAGGATAAAACAGAATGGAGAAATAGACTGTGAGCCCTATATGATATGTATGGCATAACAGAACAGTAAATGAATGTGCAAACTAGAGAGCTGTTTTTTAACATACTGGCCACTGTGTTGGTGGTCAGCAGTAGCAGCTGGCCAGGGCTTATTACCAAGCAGTCAATTTCAGCTGGCCCCTCTTACAATGGCCCCTCTTGAGAAACTGGATGTTGCATTAGGAATCAACATCACAGCACTCGGGACACTTTCATAAGTGCTCTGTCCCAGTCTTCAGCAGTAAGCAAAGAGTTCAAATTCCAGAGGTACTAGTAATTGACTGACTATACATCCATCCTGCCCTTCCCTTGGGTGTCCAGCGTCGGCCAGATCCCCTGGTAATTCCCCACAGCGCCCTTCTCCTTAGACCGTAATGATCTATTTGATCCTCTGCACTGTTCACTTTCTCCCAAAGGTCTCTCACAACATCTAGCTTGTCATAAATAAATTCCCCAACAAGAGGAGCAGAACCGGCCAGTCTATCTGTCTGCTCGTATCACAACACACCAACATGACATAGAGATAATAAAGGACGCTAACTGCGTGGGACCTCTGAAGTGATGCTTGCCACTCTGCATGGACTATGCCTGTCTCCATCTTTCTCTACATACTCTGTGACAGTTACATGAAATTACATGGAAACCTGATTTAGCCTCAAAAGCACACTAACAAGTTTTTTTTCTAAATTTGTAGAAAGGAAAGTTAGGAAGACAGTGGTTATTCCATGTTTTCATTTACTGTAAGAAAATGTACTTTATCACTGCCAAAGGATACAAGTCTGTTTAAAATTTTAAAAATTTAAACACATGCTGCACATTTGAATAATGTGAATAAAAATATATGGACAACTGATTGCTGGCATTTTTCACTGTATCTGGTGAGGTGCTTTACTAGAGAGATACATTAACATATAATGCATACCACACTCTTTTCTCTAGTGATAATGTACAACAGTGTGATTGGCATATTTGAAATCATTAACACTTCTTCTTCTTTAATTCTATTCTGTCTTTCAGCGTTAGGTTTGGAGAAGCGTAAGGTGAGAGCCTTGGTATGTGTTGCACAGATTAGTGCACTTTATTAGTTGATTCTTTAAACATGCTTTCTGGGGGCAGGCAGTGGGTCTCCCCCTACCCCCTTTTCCCCCACAATAGGACCCCTAGAACCCACATAGGGATACGGAAAACTTTCACAATAAAAATCAAGTACACATAGAAGGTATTTCTTACCATGGTCAGGATAGGCTTACACTTAGCAAGAGTAAGCATTCCCAGCCAATGACCCAAATTCTTTAGCAAGGTGCGGTCTGAGAAGTTGGCAACACCTTTGTCACTGCATAACAGGACCTGGAATTATAACAATATGTTTCAATATTAAATATAGACCAACATGACACTTATCAAGTAATTACCTACCAGAAATATGACAAATCCCACCCAAATGATGGGATTATCAGTACAAATGGCTTGGGCTCTTATATTGAGAGGCATAAGAAATGCATGTATTTTCGTGGCAAAATCAAATGGATAACCGTTAGTATAGTACAGACTACAATATAATACCACAATATTCAGTTTGTGAGAATGGAGGTGGAGGCAGCCACTGTGGCTTTTTCCCTGGATTGAAAATCAGCTGCGCACACAAAGTATGCTGAAACAGGTGGAGACACACCCGCTTCGTACAGAGTGGCATACACAATTTGAAAGGTCCCAGGTTAGCATTCTTTGCACGTTTTATTTAGTGCGTTCAGGCGTCCCTCTTACAAGATAAGACAATCCCAATCAGCAGAAAGAAACATCTCATACAAAGCACATTTACTCCCGCCTTATGCTAGGAGTGACCAGAAGAGACAAAATTATAAATAAGAGAAAAAGTTGGCCACAACCGATTCTAAATTACATATAAAGACAGCAAATCAAATGGCCTGCCCCTTTAGAGAAAATATCTTGTGATGCTATACCAAACACAAAAAGAGGAGAAGCAGAGCACAAGCTAGACCAAGAACAAGATAGAAATTAGACAAACTCTACAACAAGATGTGTCTAGGGTTGAGTTGAGGTGGACAAACTCTACAACAACAAGATGTGTCTAGGGTTGAGTTGAGGTGGACAAACTCTTCAACAACAAGATGTGTCTAGGGTTGAGTTGAGGTGGACAAACTCTACAACAACAAGATGTGTCTAGGGTTGAGTTGAGGTGGACAAAAGAGCAAGAAGCAGAACCTTATTCCTCCCTCGACACCTGAAGAGGTGAGAAATATTGAGCACAGAAGAAGATTCAGGCATGCTAGAAAAGCAAAAGGCAAACTGGCTGGTTCTGCAAAACAAGGATGTGAAATGATGCATGATAAGCTAAATGCGATCAAAGCTTGTCACTGGCACCCAAGGTCTGTCCTGTTGGATCGTTCCTATGAAATATGCTTTAAATCAGCACAACGGTTTAAAAGAAGAAAGAGAGAAAGAGACAGGAGAGGGAGAATGCAACCATACATCTATATAAGACAGTTCACATATTTATTTACACACACAAGCATGAACATAGAAAGCTTGAAGTTATTGCCATTCTTTTAATGCACCTTGGCAAGACAGTTACATAACAACCACACTATACAGCACGACAGTTACTGAACACCCATATGACACACCATGACAGTTACTGAACACCCATATGACACACCATGACAGTCACAGAACACCCATACAACACATGACAGTTACAGAACACCCATACAACACATGACAGTTACAGAACACCCACACAACACACCATGACAGTTACATAACACCCACACTATACAGCATGACAGTTACTGAACACCCACACTATACAGCATGACCTTTACAGAACACCCACACAACACACCATGACAGTTACATAACACCCACACAACACACCATGACAGTTACATAACACCCACACAACACACCATGACAGTTACATAACACCCACACAACACACCATGACAGTTACATAACACCCACACAACACACCATGACAGTTACAGAACACCCATACAACACACCATGACAGTTACAGAACACCCACACAACACACCATGACAGTTACAGAACACCCACACTATACACCATGGCAGTTACAGAACACCCACACAACACACCATGACAGTTACATAACACCCATACAACACACCATGACAGTTACAGAACACCAACACAACACACCATGACAGTTACATAACACCCACACAACACACCATGACAGTCACAGAACACCCATACAACACACCATGACAGTTACTGAACACCCATACAACACACCATGACAGTTACAGAACACCCACACAACACACCATGACAGTTACATAATACCCACACTATACAGCATGACAGTTACTGAACACCCATACAACACACCATGACAGTTACAGAACACCCATACAACACACCATGACAGTCACAGAACACTCATACAACACACCATGACAGTCACAGAACACCCATACAACACACCATGACAGTTACAGAACACCCACACAACACACCATGACAGTCACAGAACACCCATACAACACACCATGACAGTTACAGAACACCCATACAACACACCATGACAGTCACAGAACACCCATACAACACACCATGACAGTTACAGAACACCCACACAACACACCATGACAGTTACAGAACACCCATACAACACACCATGACAGTTAAAGAACACCCATATGACAGTTACAGAACACCCACACAACACAGCACAATGGTCATAGGACATCACTCACACTGACTTTAGCAACAAAAAGGTAACTATATACTGACCTTGATGTTTCTAAAGGTTTCGGCAATGACTTTGTTTGTGAGAGATTCAATCCCAAGAACATCAACAAAGTTAGAGTAGAGTGTGTGAAAATTGGGTTCAATGCTGGCGCGTTTCATGACCAGGTACTGGGCCACCCAAGAAATATACTCATTTCCCGTAACTTCCTTCAGCTCCTCAGCCTGTAGAATGAAGAAGGAATGAACTTGATTTTCAAAGGCTTTCAAATTGGGCATGCAGGCCCGTCTTACATTCGGCCCTTTCAAGCACTTATCTTTCAGACCACCATTGCATTATGTCAATAATGCATGTTATATGATGAAACAATGCATACACACATCATATATACACAATCATACACTCAAAAATACCTACAAGTACACACTTTCTCACATGCTCATACATACTCAGACACATACATATATTCATACACACACACTCATATACATACATACATACATACACACACACTCATATACATACATACATACATACACACACACACACTCATATACATACATACATACACACACACATATATAAACAGACTCATTCATTTACATACATTCATGCTCACTCCCATACATATACATACATACCAATATACATATATACCTACATAATAATACATACATGCACACTCACACCCACATAATACAAACATACATACATGAATAACAAATGGTACATTAACAATTCTTGTTCTCTTTTTTTCCTTGTACCTTCTGTCAGAAAACATACCAGGAGAGGGGCAGCCTTGATGAAAGCTACTGCGCAGTCCATATGCGCCCGTTTACCATGCAGCTTTGTCTTAACTGTGATTAGAACAGGCCAAATGGCATTTCTGTTGCATCTCACAGACAAAATCTGTGACAACACAGACTAGGACTAATCGACTAAGTCTTGGAGTAGCTAATACTAGCAGTCTTTCAGACACCTATCACTAAGTCTTACTATAGCTGATACTAGCAGACTTTCAAACACCTATCACTAAGTCTTACTATAGCTGATACTAGCAGACTTTCAGACATCTATCACTAAGTCTTACTATAGCTGATACTAGCAGACTTTCAGACATCTATCACTAAGTCTTACTATAGCTGATACTAGCAGACTTTCAGACATCTATCACTAAGTCTTACTATAGCTGATACTAGCAGACTTTCAGACATCTATCACTAAGTCTTACTATAGCTAATACTAGCAGACTTTCAGACATCTATCACTAAGTCTTACTATAGCTAATACTAGCAGACTTTCAAACACCTATCACTAAGTCTTACTATAGCTGATACTAGCAGACTTTCAGACATCTATCACTAAGTCTTACTATAGCTAATACTAGCAGACTTTCAAACACCTATCACTAAGTCTTACTATAGCTGATACTAGCAGACTTTCAGACATCTATCACTAAGTCTTACTATAGCTGATACTAGCAGACTTTCAGACATCTATCACTAAGTCTTACTATAGCTGATACTAGCAGACTTTCAGACACCTATCACTAAGTCTTACTATAGCTGATACTAGCAGACTTTCAGACATCTATCACTAAGTCTTACTATAGCTGATACTAGCAGACTTTCAGACATCTATCACTAAGTCTTACTATAGCTGATACTAGCAGACTTTCAGACATCTATCACTAAGTCTTACTATAGCTGATACTAGCAGACTTTCAGACACCTATCACTAAGTCTTACTATAGCTGATACTAGCAGACTTTCAGACACCTATCACTAAGTCTTACTATAGCTGATACTAGCAGACTTTCAGACATCTATCACTAAGTCTTACTATAGCTGATACTAGCAGACTTTCAGACATCTATCACTAAGTCTTACTATAGCTGATACTAGCAGACTTTCAGACATCTATCACTAAGTCTTACTATGGCTGATACTAGCAGACTTTCAGACATCTATCACTAAGTCTTACTATAGCTGATACTAGCAGACTTTCAGACATCTATCACTAAGTCTTACTATGGCTGATACTAGCAGACTTTCAGACATCTATCACTAAGTCTTACTATAGCTGATACTAGCAGACTTTCAGACACCTATCACTAAGTCTTACTATAGCTGATACTAGCAGACTTTCAGACACTTATCATATTTCAAAGAAGAAGATGGTCAACTTGAATGTCTTCTCTCCATACTGCTAGACATTAAAAGGTGCAGGTGTGGGGAAAAATGGTTGTGTATCCTCTACACATAATTGTGAATGATAATGTTAATGTTTCACAATATTTTTTTTCTTTCTTACTTACAGAGACATTTGCTTCAACATCAACCAAAATTCACATCTGTCCCTATCAACATAATGTAAAATCACACCATGGAAAGCTCACCTTCTGATTCATATTGGCCAATGACAAATTGTTAAAAATAAAGAAGACTTTGTCCTGGATAGAATCTGGGGGGAACAGTACATCATTGTTTCCCTGGCCAGCCAGTAGAGTGTCTATGTTAGTGGCTGTTGCGATGGACGGCTGATAGATAAATAAAACAGTTTGACTCATGTTTATTTCTTTTAAAGAAAACCTTTATAATAATTAAGCAGATGGTTCAACAGAAGTCATGAGACTGGATATAGGCATACAGTAGTAATCTTTCTTCGCTTTCATCTGCTGTAAACTCTGGTTAGAAAGTTCTGGTTTTTGTCCACTTCTAGACTCCAGTCTTATTTCAGAACTTTGGTTTTGGGTGCCCATCTGTTTTTGTACAGATCTCTGCAGACTACTGCGTTCTTGAGTCTCAGGCAAATGTACTCCGACTTCAAAGAAAACACCCCTAGTTAGGCATCGTTTATGTCACGCTTGTTAGGGGGTAGTTGTTCGAATCTTTTTTCCACCCACAATGAAGCCCCAGAACACACATGGGAACTATGCATCATAAGAACATAAAAAGTTGAAAGCAGGGATTCCCAATAAGTTGAGACCTGGGGACACCTATTAAACACACGTCTGCCAGGTTCCCTATACTTTTTTTTTTACAGCTACTACTGAACTACTTTTAATTCACAAACGTGAGAATTAAAAAAAAAATTATTTTCGTTGTCTTCTTTGCTTTTGTCCGCTGTAAACTCTTGGTGAAAAAGTTCTGGCTGTCCCTTCACCTCGAACTTGAAATCTTATTCTAGAACCTAAGTGCTGCTGGCACATCCATTTTACAGATCTGACGTTTTCTGCATGCAGATCGTGCCTCACTACGACGGAAACACTCCTGTTTTTACAACATGCTTGTGGGGGAGGGGGTATGTGTGTAAGGGTAGAGTGGGTCAATTCTCCCCACACCGCCACACACAAACACAAAAAGCTCCCCCTCCCCCAGTGATGACTGCAATGTTGAGTTAAGCTTTTTGTTAATGGTGTAAAAGGCCCCTTAAATCTGTTCCACGGACCCCTGGCAACTGCAGAACATCGAATAAACATGAAATAAGTTTGAGACTGCATCTTGTCTCTGGCAATATATGAATGAGTGAGTCAGTGATATGAATTAATCACGACAAGTATTTTGAACTTAAGTATTATAGAAAAGAAAACTTTGTCGCCTTCACCGGCTGTAATATCCTGAGGAATGTTTTGGGTGTTCGTCCACCCTGAAATATAGTCTTATTCCAGAAATTGGGTGTTGTGTGCACATCCATTTCACACATGTGGCTTATTTGAATTCTCTCTTAGTTCCTTGCCTTTCCAGCAGATATACTCCGCCTTCAAAGAATGCCTCCAATTAGTCTACTCCTACGACATGCTTGTTGGGAACTCAGTGGGTCTATTTGTTTAGTCCTCTGAAATGGGGATCCGGAACCCACTGGGAGGACAAGAATCTGAAAATCACAGACTAAGGAGAGGAGGAAAATATTCCGTCAGCATACGAACACCACAAACTGACTCATGCATAGTATCAGTTCTGGAGAAATGGAATAAAATGCTACAATATTATGAATTAACCCACTGACTACCTCGACCGCACATAATGCAATCAGCTGATATTTACACCTGGCTGTTGTAATTGCAACCCCCGCAAATGTAACTCTGGACTTTTAGCACCATATTAAAATCGCGATTTTTGCAATAAATATATTTGAAGTCGTCAGTTCATTAATTTCTTCATGGTTTTTTTAAAGAGGGAAACACCTCTGTAGAGCTCAAAATAAATTTTTTCTTAAATGTTACTCCTTGCTGGTGTTAGCTGTTTTTTATAATACTGTAGTTTTTGTCACCTGTCACAGACTCTGGGTGGCAAATCTTGTGTGTGTCAATAATTTTTTTCAATCAGAAAGCGCAGATGAAAATATTTTTTAACAGTTTGATGACTGTGACTTTGATCAGTCTTAAAAACTGCCATCAAAAACATGGTTGAAACAAAGATGTGTAGCTTTACGTAAGTGTAAACCAAAGTTAAATAATATTTAACATTATTTCAGATAACGACGTGTGAGAGAAACATAAAATATGAACTGGTCATTGATATCAACTCCTGACTTATGAGAATAATTGTTGACGACTTCATGTTTAATCTTTTTTCTAGTTCTAGTTGGAAATTCAAGCATCATATCAAAGGATTGTCCCCTGTTGTGATCAGACTGACTTCATGTATGGCTTTCACTTAAGTGCAGCAAAGTTTTCCTGCCTTCTAAATGTTGTCTTTCCCAGACTTTTGTCCTGCTAAAAGTCTTGTGCATGACTTTTTGTGTTAGCACAAACAGTTCCAACTGTTATGGTTCGATGCTGCAGAAGTTGATGTGACAGTTCAGAACAGAGGCAGTAGTTATCGGTGTAGCACCATTAACCTGGCCTGGGAAGTGACTGCAGGAGCCTTATGCGTACATCCACAAGCTTACTGATAACCATCACATAATGCATCCAAAATTGTTGGTGCACAAGGCAAACAACCACTGAAGTTGCAGTATTTTTTTTTTACAGTTAGGTGTCATGAAAATTCAGTCTATTCTGCCTCTTTTGCACCAAACTACAGTCACATGATGTAAAACAAAATTACACATTTTTTTTTGTCTTGATATGTCTTCTTTATTCAATTTGGTGCAAAAGTACAAATTACGAGTCTTATGTCCAACAGCTATGACATTTTTAGTACACACTAGAAATAAGTGATATCTAGGAAAGTACAAGTGGCTTGGTAGTCAGTGGGTCGAGACAAGAAAAACAACATCATTTTACACGACCTGAACATAACCATGTCCTGATAGCAAGACCTTCAAACAGTATAACAAAACCAGGTCACAAAGCTTTTATAACATATTAGAAGCAAAGTATTTCACTTCTTCTTCTTCTTCTCTGGTCCTATACTGCCTTTCAGCAATCAAGTTTTGAAGAGGCATCAGGTGAGAACCTTGGTATGTGCTACAGAGGTGCTCATTTTTACCACCTCGGATATTCCACCTATCCATCAATAGCGGTCAACCTCTGGGTCTCCATTATGTCTGACAGGGTTCTCTGTGGTGCACTGTCTCATGGCAGTCGTGACACATGACCAAACCACCTGATCTATTGTCTCTTGATTAGTTTAGTACTGGTTCTGTCAAAACTTTCTTCCTGATATCATAATTTCTGATCCTGTCTCTTCTAGCCATATTTAGGATTTTCCGGGGATATTTCATTTCTGTTTCAATTTTTCGTGGATATTTAATTTCTGTCTCAATTTTACGCTACCTTTGCAAAAGTTGCCCCTCTTGATGTGGGTGGAACAAGTGAAGATGCTGCTGTAGATGGTACTGCAGTCGACTGAGGTACTGCTGGCGCTGCACTTGAAGTTTGAGGGGGAGGCGGCGGCGGAGGGGGTGCATTCTGTCCATCTAGACCAGGCAGAGATGTTCTGACTAGCCCTGGAAAGTTCCCCACCGGGGTCATAGGCCGACCACTGAGTTCACTCAGCATTCCATGTGGCATCTGTGGGTGTGGCGGCTCCTGGGATCTGGCACCATATTCCACATACTTGAGGAAGAGACAAGAACAATAATGTAAATACTAGAGGAAAACATAGAGAAATTAAAAAACGTAAGTGAAAAGGAAAAGCAAAGAAAGAAAAAACATAAAAAAAAGAAAGAAGAAACAGTGTAAACATTTAGGAAGAAAAGAAGAAAATGTAAATACTAAGGGAGAGAGTATAAGTATAAATAAGGAGAAACAGAAAGAAAACACAACCAGAAAAACTCTGAGAAAGAAAAAAGCAGTACTTACAATTCTACAAAACACACATAAATTACAACTTTCTTTATAACTAAGATAAGATGATAGAATGTCAAGTAAATTTAACTCTTTCAGTCCCAGAGGCCCAAGGGCTAGTAAAGACAAGAGTAAAATCAGCACGTTACATTCATTGGGCTTAGAGGTGGCATTCCATGGAATGTGAAAGAGTTTAAAAAACCTACAGAAAGTAACTTTTAAAAACAGATATTCCATAAACCCCATCTTGTTTTATAATTAACTGGAGGTAGGGGAGACAGAGAAAGAAAGGCAGAGGCACATCCATTTTGCAGATCTGGCTTATTTGTATTTGTATGCAGACTGCAGATTCCTCGCCTCTCTGGTAGATGCACTCTCGACTTGGAAGGAAACATCCCTAATTAGTCATCTTCTATGCCTCTTTTATTAGCGAGCAGTGGGTGTATTTTTCTTCCTCACATTGGCAGCCTGGAACACACATACAGAAATTTTATATAAATATACCTTTAAAAAAACCTTTTAAAATAGATATAAAGGTAGCCAGTCAGCAAGGCACCTGATTATGATGATACCTTTAGAAACATACTTTTAAAATAGATATACTGTAAACCCTTCTGATTTACAATTAAGTTAAGGAAAGGAGAAAGGACGATCATAGAAAATGCGGTAAACAGGGAGTGTAAGAGGGACATGGAGACAATATATTTCAGACAATGTATCTCCTTTCTGAATCTGAGCAGTTGTGTTATATTCATATTCGGGCTTATCCGGACCTGCAGTGCCAAAACAACAATCATTTTTTAAGGCAGTAGACCAAACTGCCTGGAGACTTACCTCAATGAGGTGGGGTGGCAGCTGCATGAAGTGTGGTATCTGTGCCAGGTGCTGGCAATACTGTGGATACTCCTTTAGCCTGGACAAAAACAGGTGAAACAGGTTAGTTACTAACACTGAGAGATGCAACAGGTAAAATCATTCATTTACAGAAAAGAACATGAAGCCATGCAAGGATTGGGGTGAAAAGGGGGGGGGGGGGGGGGGGGGGGGGGGGGGGGGGATAGATAATGCTAGAGAAAAAAACCCATACTGTACAAACCAATGTTACACTATCCTGTGATTAGTAGTTGAGTGCGGAATTTGATACTGTCTTCTCAGTTGCAGCTTAAAAACTGAATTTATCATCTCTTCTTCTACAGTCCCACATACAACAGCAGAGGTAGGATTTCTGCAGCTTACAGCTAGGCTGTGATAAGTGCACCTTCAGCCCAACACATCCATCTCGACAAACCCCTAATTCGTCACACACACACACCCCCCCCCCCCCTCCCAATAGTGCCTCAGATCCCCAAAAACGAATAATATTTCTAGATAGTTAGAGATTAAAAAAAAATAGAATTGTTAGTGTACCCATAAAAGGAATATGCATAGCATGAATGGTTCCAGTAAACACACTTTTGGTTTGTTGATGATGCTAGATTTTATGCACTGTACTGGGGCACTCCTAGTGTGATCTATGGAATAAGGTATCCTGGTTATCTGAATATGTATTTGGGGTGCAGTCACAAGAATGAGGGAAAGTAAAGGCTGTTGTATTATGTATAAGAGATACTCATTAACTCATCTCGAGTGCCAGCAGCCTCTGCGCTAGTTTTATGGTTCTTCATGCAAGACTCCTGCAACACATCCTTGTCATGCACCACAGATAATAGCCTACATATGCCTGACAAGTGTTAGCAGGGGATCTCTCAATTGGTACCCCCAGAGATGTAGTGTCCAGAAATCCTCTGGCTCTAATCAGCCCACATCAAATGCAGAAGGGATAACATCCATTGAAAACATTTGGAACATGAGTGAAGCCTGTTGGACAAATATCCTACTATATAACAAACCTTGATTCAAACATCTGTTGACTGAAAGCTCTGCTGAAATGCTGCTTGGGCTCGACTGTCCATCAGTCAAGTGCCCATAACAACAAAGGGTTTTCCTTGCAATAACGGTCGCTTCTTGGACGGCGACGGCCGCTTTGTCGGAGTTCAGTCCCCTGGCTGCAGTGCAATTACGGAGTGGACAAGGCACGAATCACAAAACAAAGATATAGCGGCCGTCATTATGGGTAAGTACTCGACGTTACACGTGTTACGCTTACCCTAACCCTACCCCTTATTATGTCATTTGTTTCGTTACCTCTGTTCCACTCCGTAATTGCACTGCAGCCAGGGGACTAAACCCCGACGAAAAGGCCCTCGCCGTCCAACTAGCGACCGTTATTGCAAGGAGAGCCCAACAAAGTTTAAGATGTCTGACCATTGAATGTCTTACAGTTAGATAGACAAGATTCAGTGACAGTCAACTGTCTATGTGTCAGAAATGTTAAAATGACCGCTGCCACTGGTCTCCCCTTCTTCCCCCAATCAGAATGTCGAGACCATACGGGGAAGCCATGCCTGATGCCTGTACCTCCTACAATTTACTGCTAAGTAGTACCCTGATACAACTACGTTAAAGATGTGTAATATGCTGAGAAAGATTTGTCCATCTGTGCAGTCATCAAAGTTATAGATCTGCATGCTGCTTCCCTGTTAATCCCTAGAGCCCTATGATAAGTGGTGTGGAAAGTTCATCATAAGGATATGTAGTTAAGCAGTCATCCTTGGCTGAGACCGAGTACCAGGTTGGCTCTGTTTTTAGGGAAGCTTCCTTAGATGGGGCTGAACATCAGCCCAGGACAGGTTCTCTAGAAGAAAAACACCTGTAAAGGGTGAATTAACTGCACAAATAAAGCTCATGAAACTAACCAGGAAGGCTAGCCCCGTGAACAAATGCCTAATTAAGTTAGACGTGGCGGACCGAAAGGTGCAAATATTGAAGCCATGCTGTAAACAAATTATATCACTCGAGCAAAGATGAAGAAGATGTATCTTTAAAAAGTCTACTGCTTGTATTTACCACTTTGTAGACAGTGTAGATCAGTAGTCTGAGGTGGCAGGATTTAGAGCAGCACAGCTAGTGCAGTCCCCCACAAATTACGCAGTCACAATTTTGAACCACGTGCGTAATCAAGGTCATCCTTTACAACCAAACTGAACAACCCAAACCAAAAAAAAACACACGTGCCACATGCAACATTAAACAAGTGTAACTAAAGAATTGCAAGCGAACATTTGAAAACAGTATTAATAATATACACATGATCTAAGAAATATGTCTCAATAAGTATTACCAGACCCCATTGCAAAATAACAAGACCAAATCAGAAAACCAATCACAATACAAAAAAAAAAAGATATAAAACCGAAAAGATATAAAACCGAACAAAAAGTATATAAGCAAGCTTCACAATAGAACAAATACAAACAAAACGTGAACATTGCGGCTATGGAGCCTTCATCAGCACAAACAAAACAAACAAACACTACACAAAATCACTTAGATGGTGCTGTGATTTCACCAGACATGAGAAACAGTTAATGCTGTTGTGTTGTTTATAAAGTTATACCCCAGCAAGTTATACCCCAGCAAGTTATACCCCAGCAAGTTATACCCCAGCAGGCTTTGTGCTTGTTTTACAGAACTTCATGCAAGACCCCTGCCATATGTCGTTACTGTGTGCAAGAAAAATGGCTAACACTGGCCACAAATGTAATTGGCAGGGGATCTGAGACCTGGCGGCCTCCAAAGGTGCAGTGTCTGAGAGCGGATACTACTTAGCAGCTCATCCCCTGTAAAGGGGATGAATACATCCAGCAAAGTTACTTTAGTCCACTGACAAAGAAAGAAAGTTAGTTAGTTGCATATCCTTTACAGTATGTTGCAGAACCAACTGCATCAATCTTTGGCTGTTGTGGGGTTTTTTCTTGGCAATTTTACGTTAAGTAGTTTGCCATTCATCTCTTAACGGTTGGCTCTAAATACTATTGTCAAAACCAACACAAAGCGGTCTGCAGCCAAATGGCCTGCAGCTGGAATCAAACCCGGCACCCCGGCATTACAAATGCGCATTCTCAATGCCTAAGCCACAGGTGATTGATTTACATTTACTAATTACTAATTTCATTTGACACATCTGTCACGTGAGTCTCCTACAAAATGACAAAAAAGGTTTAAAGTCCATTAAAGGAAAAGATATTCAAATGTCCACAATGAGGGATCTTGCGGAATGATGATAATACACGTTTTAAGTGCCCCTATCAAAGACTATACTTGTATAAAAGAAAAAACCACATCTGAAGCATTCTTTCCAAACTGATCGAAAAAATTCTGCAGCTATTCAGCTTTTGAGGGGAAAAAATAATGTCACATTCAGTCATCATCCACGAAGGGGATGCTTTAGGTTATAATTGTACGATTAGGTTTTTTACGGCAAACAAAATGGCTAGCTGATGCGGCTGAAAGAGACAAACCCAAATAGTGTCCCAAGCGGCGAGAAAGTTGTCTATCGGCCAGCCAATGGGCGACAGTCACTGATGGGGGAGGGGGGGGGGGGCACTGGTGCCTGTGGTACCCGTACAAAAAAAAAGTGCCCTTATCTGGAAAAGTCCACCGTACTGAGGAAGCTCGTTATGTAAAGGTCATTGAAATCTGAGTCATCGAAGATAATAGTGCTTCTTATAAATCTTTTAAGGCACAGCCCATATGAAAGAGAGGCTTCATTTCCAGAAGTAAAGTTAGGCAGGTATGTACACGATGTAGTAATTCCTTCGGTGAGCCCATTATCAGCGCACCATATACCGACCCTACATTTATGGAAGCTTTCTTGCACGGCAGGGAATACCCACACTCTGCTACCAATGATCCAGGCAGATTACCCCAGATAGGTCCCCCCTGCTGCCACAACCACGAGGCTGTGCAATGTCCCCAAAACTAACAAAACAGGCTAACATGAACAACAATTACTCAAAGTCAGATATGCTGGCTGAAAGACACAATTATTGCAGTTATGTGATGAAAAGGAGAAAAATTAAGTACATCGTGACAGTTGGAAGTTGGAGAGGAGGGAAGGCAGTGAGACAAAGAGAAAACATGTCTGACATCATGGCATGGAGGATCACCTGTGTCAGAGTTGACTGAAAGTACATGAGACAGAAGGTTGTGGACAGACACTGCCATTGGCACATACTTTAAGAAGATGCTGTGGACAGGCAATATATATTACTAGGACAAACAACGAAGAAGAAGATCCTAGCAGAAAATGACAGATCAAATAAAAAAAATATAAATTTTTTTTTTTAAATGATGCAGCATAATACCACAATAACAAAACAGTAAAACACTATTTTAAAATTCTACACATGGGGAAACTGAGCTTCGGATACTCACACACACGCATGCACGCACCTACACACACACTATATAAAATCTGAAGAAAGAAACCGACTTGCAACAGATCTAATCAGAATATAAAACAACAGGAAAAAGGATAGAGTATGTTGCCTTAACCAGTAAAATAATCTAAGACTGGTTTTAAATTAGATAGAACCGCTCTAATTTTTAAAGGCCTGCCAAAGACCTATTTTTTTCAAGTCCAATAAAACCAACGTGCAAAAAAGTAGGGTGAAGGTGTTTTTTTCCCTAACATATTACACACATCCCCACCCACACTTGGGTTCCTGGACCAGACTTTAAGAAAAACAAGAATAGACCCACTGCCTCCCTAACAGCTTGTCGTATTAGTCGACTAATTTGGGGTTTCCTTCATCTGCCTGGGAGCCAAGCAACCAACAGCCTGCATACGAAGAAAGCCAAAACTGTAAATTGGATGCGCACACAACACTCACGTCCTAAAACTGGACAGAAGTCCATAAACAGACGAACAATTGAAACTTTCCTCGGCAGTTCACAGCCGATCAATGTGAAGAAGTAGCAGAAACCACAAACCTCATAAATTTGCTAGACATTTAGTGACTGGAATCATATGTTTACTAATGTTTTATTAAATTGAAAAAAAATCAGAGGGCATAGTGCCTGTCTTCTTTGTGGTCTAGGGGTTCAACCCACTGAATATTTATAAAAACCAACCCCGACTCCAAACTCTTCTGCTGCTTCTCTTAGGATAGAAAATCAAGAGAATTATAAGGAAGCAACAAAACTTGGAGAGAAAAAGGGTACATAAAAAAAAAAAAAAAAAAGATTTTATCGGGCAAAAGGATTAACATTATGCTTTGAATAATGCAAAAAAAAAGTTTGAAGCAGAATGAAAACAGCACAGTAAATCAAAACAGAAAATCAAACAGAACAACATTACAGTAAAACCTCGGCAAATGAATATAATTCATTGCAGAAAATCATATTAGCCAAAAATGGTGTAAAAATTAGGCTCATAACATAACTGCATTATCTTAGCCCTCGCATTCCAAAACAAGGCTGAAAAATAGCAAAAATATCTTTGTCAAGTCAAAAAAATTGGTTAGCGAGGTATAATCCTTACAGAGTATATCACATTATAAAGTAGACAGTAAAAACAATTTAAAATTGTGCAAACAGGAAGAACTAAGATTTTATACATATTGATTCAACAATTTTGAAGCAGAGTAGGTCTAAACAGGGCACACACACACAAAAATCAAATCAAAACATTCAAGAACCCAAAAAAAACTTTCTTGAACAAGCAAAAAGCTTAAATATACTAGAATGCGGTGAAACAAAAAGCAGTGCAATACAATAAGCAAAGCAGACTTAAGCAGCGCATTTAAAAGAAATCAAAAAAGACAAACCCAGGGAGAGAAAAAAAACTTCCTTGAACAAGCAAAATGCAGAAAAATGTTAGATTGCTGGGGAAGTAAAAACATACTTGGTCTTGAATCTCTCCAGAGAAGCCACACCAAACAGGTACATGTTACTGTTGGGCTGCTTGCGGAGGGCTTCAAGAATGTATCGCAATGCGATGCCCAGAGTCCAGTAGCTAGGAAATTGAGGGAAACTAATTACAGGAACAGGTATGCAGGAATGTTCTAGACACAATATTGACCCAACACAGAAGCATATATATGTAAATATATGCTTCTGTATTTGTACATATCTCATTTGTATAGATGCTATATAAGAATTTGATTTTCTTCACTCCCATTCTGAGAGAGAGAGAGAGAGAGAGAGAGAGAGAGCGAGCGAGAGAGAGAGAGAGAGAGAGAGAGCGAGAGAAAGGAGAGACAGAGAGAGAGAGAAAGGGGAGAAGAGTTCAGAGAGACAATAAGAGACAAAGTGAAGAAAGATACACACAGGAGAGGGGCGGAGAGAATTAAATACAAGACAGAAAGTAAAGAGAGACAAGACAGTGAGACACAGAGAGAAGACGGACACAGACACAGGGGGAGAGAATTAGATACTGGACAGAGAGTAAAGAGAGAGGAGGCAAAGAGACAGAAACAGTAAGAGATAAGAGATATATACACATAAATAAAGAGTTGAGAAAGACAGTAATAGACAGACAGAAAGAGACACAGTGTGTGTGTGAGTGAGACAAAAAAAGAAAAAGACAAGAGTGAGTGAAAGAGATTAAGACAGCAGGGTAACACCTGTTATAGTTTTCAGGTACCCGATATAATTACCTGGCACAGCCTTACAGTACCAAATATAACTGGTTGAACTGGATATATCTTCTTCTTCGCGATCACCAGCTGTACACTCTGGCGGAAAGTTCTGGTTGCTCGTCCACTACTGAACTGCAGTCCTGCTCCAGAACCTGAGTGTTGCGTGTGCATCAGTTTTACAGATCTCATTCTCTTGAATACAGACTGTTGATTCCTTGCCTCTCCGGCAGATGCACTCCGACTTCAAAGGAAGCTCCCCAATAAGTCGACTCTTACGACATGCTTTTGGGGAGGCAGTGGGTTTATTCTTGTTTTCCCCACAATGGCGCCCCGGAACCCACACGGGGGAACTGGATATATGAGACACTTACATAACTCTTTGAGGCCCGAGCAGCGGTGTGAGCGTTGACTGAGAAGTTACATTTTGCCCAAACAACGCTGTCATCGTCAATTGTGTATCACGTAAATATTGCTTCGCACACGGCTTTGTACTTGTTTCTAATGTTCGATTAAATTATTCAGGGAAAGTCACTCTAATGATTTCATTTTAACTATGTTCCGTATCCCAAGCCACACGTGCATAGATTGATTGCATTCATAGCCATATTTTTTTCAACAGGTCATTTTTTAAGTTTGTTTTCGAGGGCCATGAATACTAATGTTCCAACCACAGTACAGGTCCGCAGAATGCCTCTTTTAGCAGCCGAAGCTCTAAAATTGTTTTACTCAGATGTTTTTCAATTCGGATAATGATAATAAGAATTTAGATTTTTCGGTTTATACAATGTCCCATTGCTACCGTATTTATGGTGTAATAGACGGAAAGTGCTCCAAACAAATAGACTATACTATGGCAAAGCTACATTTAAATCATTGCAGCTACAGTATGTATATAACTATAGAAAGTTTGTAAATAGTGTGTGTGTAATGGCCCATTTTTCAGCCATTTTTCTCTCAAATTTTGCACAGCACTGTGAGAATAAAGAGCCCCTAAGTGCTAAACTAACCCAGAAACCTATAACTTTGGAATTTGTTAGGAAATTGAACAAACTTTGAAGTTTTGTTCTCAAATTTGGATATTCACTACTTTTGTGGCTGTAAAACCATGGTAAATGAAGAATTTGTTTGTAAAATGTTGTGAAATTAACACCTGCTGAATTCTTCTTTCCTACTAACTATAACAAAATTAAACAAACACTTATCATCAGATTCAAAAATGTACATTCATTTCTCTTTAAAAAAATATATACTTTTAAAGGGATCAGAAGTATATTAAATTCTGTTGCCTTTCTTGTACACCACCCCTCTGCCATTTTTGTAAAGGGAAATTAATGTGGGCCAAGTCTTGTCGAAATTCATCGGCCCGAAAGTAAGTAAGTTTGTTTTAGTATCTAGAAGCCATGAGTTGTTAACCCGTAGGCTCAGGATTATGGATATCGCAACCCTTCGGCCTTGATTCCATTGTAAATACCGTAAATCTGAGAGAAATGTGGCTTTTCTGCCTACCCCCTGGAGTGAACCCGGACCACAAGCAGTTCGTCACCCAGTCACCATGCAATCTGGCTTAGCCAACTATGCTAGAGAGCCGGGCATGGGCCTGGAAGAGTTAAGGCCATAAGTGACAAGAAAAAAAACACACCCAGTGTCGACAATCTCCCCGCCTCCAGTCACCAACAGCATTTATGATTGAGCCTGAATTTAAAATGACCTTCTTAGCGTGTGGTTACATAAATTATGCTAATTCTTGAGAAAATTAGGCAGGTTCTGAATTATTTTTACTTGTGCACGGGCATGGAAGAATAAAGCTAAAAGTGGACTTTACTGCACCCAGTTATTCTATTTATCTCAATCTCTCAGCGCAGACTGGTTAGCTGCCAATTAGGAGCTTTGCAACTAAAGTAAAAACACGAATTATGCAGCTTCAGTGTTTTTTTTTAAACCACAGAAGAGTGCCGTGGCCATAAAGAGATCGCACCTGGCCCCAAAGAGATAAACCACATGGCAGCAAGATAATGATTAAGAGATAACACAACTGCAACATGTCAATGTAGAGATAACCACATGACAGCAGCATGATAATGGAGAGATAACCACATAACTGTCAATGCAGAGATAACCACATGACAGCACCATGATCATGCAGAGATAACCACATGACAGCAACATGATAATGAAGAGATAACCACATAACTGTCAATGCAAAGATAACCACATGACAGCCCCACAATAATGAGATAACCACATGACAGCATCATGATAATGACCACAATGACAGCACTATCGTCATGTAGAGACAACCATATGACAGCACCACAATATAAAAAGACAACCACATGTCAGCAACAAGATCATGAAGAGATAACCACATGACAGCACCATGGTCATGAAGAGATAACATGACAGCACCATGATCATGAAGAGATAACATGACAGCAACATGGTCAGGAAGAGATAACATGACAGCACCATGATCATAAAGAGAACCACGTGACAGCACCATGGGTATGCAAAGATAACCACATGACATCACTATAGGAATGCAAAGATAACCACATGATAGCACCAAGTGTTTGCAAAGATAACCACTTGACCGGACCACAGGATTGCAAAGATAACCATACGGCAGCACCTTGGATATGTAAAGATAACCATATGACAGCACCATAGGATTGCAAAGATAACTACATGATAGCACTAAGGGTATGCAAAGATAACCACATGACATCACTATGGGAATGCAAAGATAGCCACATGACAGTACCATAGGATGCAAACATTACCACATGAAAGCACCAGGGTTATGAGATAACCACTTAAGAGCAACATAGGATGCAAAAACAACCACATGAAAGCACCAAGGTCATGTGATAACCACACAACAGCACCATGGTGATCCAGATATAACCACATGACAACACCACAGGTATAAAGAGCTAACCCCATGATAGCACCAAGGCCACAAAGAGCAAACTTACATTCAAGAAACTGTTTCAAGGAGCCATGTATCAAGCTAGCTCCTTTAAAGTTCTAATCATGAAACAAAACTAATTAAATGCCATGGAGTAGTAGTCTGGCAACATCTGCAAATGGCAAGCCCAAAATCTTACCCATAAATCATGTCCACACACGCCGCACAAGTTAAGTTATGCGAGAAATACATACGTGACAATATTCTGTTCGATGATTCCACCGAAGAGCTGAGCAGTAATCTGTAGCTCTCGATCTGGGTACTGAGGAAAGAATCTGTACTCCTCAAACAGGTTGCGCAGCATGCATGCAAACACATCCTGTGAGACAGCATGAACAAGAAAATGACAGGTCAACACCACCACTGTGACCTAAAAATGATGACACTACCTTCCTCCTCTCCTCCTCAGCTTTACTGGAAAGTTTTGTTTGTACGTCCACTTCTGGGTCTGGTCTTGTTCCAGAACTTGTTCTGCATGCACATCCGTTTTACAGATCTGAATTATATGTAAACTGGTTCTTGGAGTCTCAGGCAAATGCACTCAGAATATGAGCCTTTTATGACATGCTTGGCAGGAGGACAAATGCCCCCCCCCCCCCCCCCCCCCCCCCCCCACATGAATCAAAATGGGCTCAAGAACCCACAGAGGGACTTATATATTACTCACTGCTAGAGCTTTCTTCCATTTAAACATCATTGTCATAATTTTTAATTAGCTGAGTCTTCTAAATCGCCCACTTTTGACTTCTGACAGTCTGTCATTTCTGTGAAGGTTCATGGCTTAAAATGTTTCAGAGACTTGAAGTATCTGCTAGAAGCAGAGACTCGCTGAATGAATAACAGCTGGAGGCAGCCATTTCAGAGAGCCAGACAGGAGCAACAACTGTCAAATCAGCTTGTTTGGGGAACTGATACAGTGAGCAACTGCAAAAGTAGCTGCCAGAAGATTTGCCATAATGAGCAACTGTGCCAGAGGAACTATCTACCGAGTAAATGTCAAAGGCAGCTGTTCCATGGATCCACGGAGTAAGAAAATGTCAGAGGTAGTCGTTCCACAGAGTAAGCAAATGTCAGAGGTAGACGTTTCACGCTCCACAGAGTGAGCAAATGTCAAAGGTAGACGTACCATGGATCCACAGAGTGAGCAAATGTCAAAGGTAGACGTACCATGGATCCACAGAGTGAGCAAATGTCAAAGGTAGATGTTCCATGGATCCAGAGAGTGAGAAAATGTCAAAGGCAGCTGTTCCATAGATTCACAGAGTGAGCAAATGCCATAGGCAGTCCTTCCATGGACCCATAGAGTAAGAAAATGTCAAAAGCAGTCGTTCTACGGATCCACAGAGTGAGCAAATGTTAAAGGTAGTCATTCCACGGATCCACAAAGTGAGCAAATGTTAGAAGCAGTCGTTCCACAGATCTACAGAGTGAGCAAATGTTAGAGGCAGTCATTCCATAGATCAACAGAGTGAGAAAATGTCAAAGGCAGCTGTTTAAGGAACTGAAATAGTGAGCAACTGTCTAAAGCAGCTCTTCCAGGGATCCACAGAGTGAGCAAACGTCAGAGGCAGCTGTTCTACAGGCATAAGGATTGAGCAAACGATGGAGGGAGCTTACCCTGTTTGTTTTATCATGAGAATCTTTGAAGGACTTGAGCATTGCAAGAACCTCATCAATGCTCATGGTTGGAGCTGGCGGCTGGTTGTAGATCTGCTGGAAGTAAGTGTTGGCCCTGTCTTCCACTTCTTTGCTGAAGGTCTGGGTCATCTCTGGGAAGATGTTGGACATGTCGCTTGCTGGATTTCCTGGCACTGAAGATGGTACATGTTGCATTAGACTAATGGATACATCTAGGTCAGTAGTTCTCAACCTTTCTAATGCTGTGACCCTTCAATACAGTTCCTCATGTTGTGGCGACTCCCAAACATACAATTATTTTCATTTGCTTTTAACTTTATAACTTCAGTAAACATGTGTTTTCCTATGGTCTTCGGCGACCCCATGTGAAAGGGTTGTTCGACCCACAAAAGGGTCACGACCACAGGTTGAGATTACAAAGGTTTGGGTTGTTAATTTGAATCAATAAATAGTTGTAATTTGTATCGAAACAAAGGACAACAGGAGTATAGAGGAATGCAGCTTTGTCTGCAGAGCAACTAAGAACCTGCCAAGACTGTCACACAAACTCTAGCTGGAGCAACAATTCCCAGGCATCTTTGAAAACTTGCATTTGTGGAACAAACAGAAAGGTCAGTTCAGAATAAGAGCTCATGACTCTTAGAGCCTGAGATTAAACACTTGACTACAGAGACCAGTAAAGCAATCAGTCCTTTTTCCCCACAAATTCTGGGCATACAGCTGTAAACCTATATTTTATTGACCAATCTGCACTCAGTGGGCATGTGGTCAGCATCACGTTGGCCGCCTTTACTTGGTTTATGGCTGGGTCAAGCTGAAAGTAATTTTTTTTAAAGTCTGACTTCCTTTGGATTTAAATCTATGACCTTAGTATCCGCAAGTGAGTGTCTAGCCACTACACCACGGTAGCTCCCTATGATGACAAGAGCTAAACAGAAATTTATGTAGGAAGCAAATGGAAGAAAGAGAACGGGAAAAAAGCTTCTTTATCTCTTTCTGCCCCAAACAACAAGCTATGTGTGGCCAGGTATTATTCATGCATACTGATTCAACATGTTATGTTTATTACATCTTGAGTTTAGCTAGCAACTCTAAAGAAATTTAACAACATATCTGCTTCCTGCCAGGGTTGCATATTTGGCTTCTCTGTAAGTAGTATACCCATCAGTTTCACACTGCCATTCTTAACTCTCTCGGACATTAGCTAGGAGTTTGTGGGACTGAAACAATTTTGTAAATTTCATGATCTGCATTTTTAAAAGTCTGTTAGGGAGCAGCAGCTGACCAAATGGTTAGCCTGCTGAGTTTGCCAGCTGGAGACAGGTTTAATCCTTGGTACCGGATGCACACAAAAATACCTGCATGGTTTATTGCAAAGTTCACTAGCCACTGAGTAGCTTAAATTTCTTAGCTGCCCCCCTCTCCAATCAAGTGGTAAAGTACAGGCAGTTTTAAATTTTTTAGCCAAAGGAAGAAACTCAGAATGTCATGGACAAAGAAAAGAAGAAATACATTTAAAAAGATCTGAACGTCAAGGAAAACTGACTAAAAAACAGCATCTTGTCTCAGAAGCCGAAATATTTTGGTCAAATTAAGCAGCACAGCAGACTGGAAAAAATAATAGCAGAAGGCATGGTACCATAGGGTGGAGGGGGCAGGGGTCGACCTACAAGATGGGCATAGGATTTAAGTGATTCCTTAAATGTGAAAGTGTATGAGGCGTGAAAGCTGGCGAGAGACCAAGTTTCTTTTAGGCAGACCATGATGACAGCGACATTCTGCAAAGGATCTGCTACATGATGAGGAGTTAGTCTACTGTGTCTTTCTTCTCACGTTAATTCTTTGAAATTCCTTCCTGCCACTGAGATGATGTACATGAAAAAATTACACTGTGCTGGAATATTCTATTGGCAAAATTACTTGTAGAACTGTGCGTAATCGCTCTGAGAAGATGCCAGATAAATGGTGTAGGCAATGTACAGCTAATATCTATTGCGTGACTGGCACTTAGTGATATAACAATATCAGCATATCTCTCTTTCTCTTAAACACAGTGTTATCACCAGATAAATCATGTGTTCAAAAAAAGTGGAGGAGAAAGATTTAAGAGCAGACCTGTATTTTCAGACTGAGGACACTTAAACAACTTTGCTGTATAGATCTCACCATCTCTGCCACAAGGAACTCCACAACAAAGTCGAGAGCATGTCTTACAAAACTGCTCAGAATATGCTAATCAGAGAGGAAATTGAGGCCCATGGGAGTGACAGCTCAATAAAAACTAATGGGAACCGTTAAAGGCCCTAAGTAAATTACAGGTTTTTGATCCATGCCGGAACAGCCACACAGCAAGTTTTCGTCACAAAATTTTAAAAAATGAATCTAGCTGGACTCTGATGACAGAGAAAAGACAGAAAACTGCACCAAAATACAAGGAGACGAAGAGCGCTAGCCAACTTCAATTTATAAAGGTAGGTAACAACTGACTTGACCAGTCTTACCTGTGCGGTTGCCCAATCTTTCTTGGCTTACTGGGAGACCTGGTTTAGGTTGCTGTGCACTTGAAGCTGCCAACGTTGCCAGGTTGCTTACAGGAGGTCGAGGTCCTGGGCCGGGACCGGATGTCGGGCCGGGACCAATGCTTTGAGGTATAGATGGCTGTAGCCCCATACCTGCTGGATAACGGACAAACACTGATCATTTAAACGGGAACATAAAAGCTGATCCATAGTCTATTTATCAGTGCGATCAACATGTGCTGAATATCCCTTACACAATTTTGTTAGTAAGCAACTTAACGAGATGTTTTATGACAATGGTGTCTGAACTTTTTCGTAACAATCACTTCAGCACAAATTAATGCATTCTGACCATTCAAAAGAATAGGTGGATGAGTTACTGCATGTTTAAGGGGGCAGAAAAGTGGAATATACCAAGGGTGAAACTTTCATTGTACCATATCTCACTGTCAATGATGTCTTTCTTTTTTTTTTTGGACGAAGATTGTTATATTTATGCTAAACATACACCTGGTGTAAAATTCTAATATCAAGGTTGCTTTACAAGGGAGAATGTCAAGAGGGAATCCACACAATATCATGATAATATGGTAAATATTTTATATAAATATGTAATCAGTTACACAAAGTACAGATAATATGCAAAACTGACACAATATCTGGATATGTAAAACAACTGACACAATATCTGGATATGTAAAACAGCTGACACAATATTTGGATATGTATAACAACTTACACAATATCTGGATATGTATAACAACTTACACAATATTTGGATATGTATAACAACTTACACAATATTTGGATATGTATAACAACTGACACAATATTTGGATATGTATAACAACTGACACAATATCTGGATATGTATAACAACTGACACAATATCTGGATATGTATTACAGCTGACACAATATCTGGATATGTATAACAACTGACACAATATTTGGATATGTATAACAACTGACACAATATTTGGATATGTATAACAACTGACACAATATTTAGATATGTATAACTGACACAATATCTGGATATGTATAACAACTGACACAATATCTGGATATGTATATCAACTGACACAATATCTGGATATGAATTACAACTAGGGCTGTCCTAAATAGTGATTTTCACTATTCGGCCGAATACGAATAGTAGGACCAACTATTCGACTGAATACGAATAGTGCATAATGTACAAAAAATATCTTTCAAAAAAAAAACTTCACAGAAAGTAGCACAGAATGGTCATCTTCTTCTTTAGCATTCTGAGCCCTTGGGGTTTACTGCTGCAGATATCACTTGTCTCTATTTATCTCTCTGGCTGACCTTATCTTCACAATTTGTGACACTAGTTGTTTGCAGGTCTGGCTGGACATTATCTCTCTAACTTCTTTTTTGTTTGCCTCGTGGTCTACCCCCATTCCTCTCTCAGGTGTATACAGTTTTTACTTCTCTGTCATCTGACATTCAATATGCATAACTATTTTAGTCTGTTAGCTCTCATGATGCCAGTGATCAATGGTGACTTACAGATTATGTATTACGTTGATGTTTCTTACTCTCCATTCCCCGCTGTTAGCATCTTTAGTGGGTCCAAAGATATGTCGTTAGACTGTTTTTGAAAACATGTAATAAGGCCTCATCTCTTTTATTTCTGCTTCAAGTTTCAGAGCCATATAAAACAACTGGTCTTTTCAACGTTTTATATATTTTGATCTTGGTGCTGCGAGACAGACACTTTGACTTTAGTAGATGTTGAAGGGCATAGTATACTTTATTTCTAGATTGTATTTCTTCTCTCAGCTTGTTAGAACAGTTGAAGTTTGCACCCAAGTACTTATATGTTTCCGTTCGTTTGATTTTCTATTATCAACTTGTATGTGGCCGGAGTTTATATTCTTTCCATGTTAGTATTTGTACAAAATAGTAAACATTTAAAAACATTTTATGTTCTGCATCCTTCAGTCAGTCTGTGGTAACTAATAACTAGGATTAAAAGAATCCTAAGTATTATAACAAGTAACTAAACTTGGAAATTGTCACTGACAGATTAGTTAATGCAAGAAAGCTGCATTAGATTTCAACAAAACCAATCGTTCCATGTTGTCAGCATTACGGCAGTGTATGCAGAAGCGGGTGTAACGTAACTACTATTCGTATTCGACCCGACCGCAACTATTTGGCCGAATACTGAATAGTCAACAGGTCCACTATTCTGCCCCGAAGCAAATATTCGGTACAGCCCTAATAACAACTGACACAATATCTGGATATGTATAACAACTGACACAATATCTGGATATGTAAAACAACTTACACAATATCAACTTAACATTTCTATTAGTGTTGTGAATTTGGTCAGACACAAGGAAAAGTAAAGGCCATGGTAATGTGTACGAGAAGTTACTCTGTACCTCACCTCGGATGACAGCTGTCTCTGGTTTTACTGACCGTCATTCAAGATTTGTTCTTTGTACCATTTTTATTCTTCTTCTTCTTCGTGTTCACCAGCTGCAAACTCCATCAGGAAGTTCTGGTTGTTCATTCTGGACTTTAGTCTTTTCCCAGAATCTGAGTTTTGTGTGCACATCCGTTTTAGAGATCTGGCTTAGTAGTATGCAGACTTTTGGTTAATTGCCTAAGGCAGATGCACTTCAATTTTGAAGGAAACACCTCCAATTAGACGGCTTTTACAAAATGTTTGTTAGTGTAATGGGAGGAAAGCGGGTCTAACCCCCCCCCCCCCCCCACAAAGGCGCGCCTAAACCCACACTGAGTGCACCAGGACTCACCTTATAATGATCAGTCTCACTTTATATAGCCCCACCTCCCCCTCTCTAATAAACTGAGGTCACAGCAGAAAACTTCAAGGCTAAGCCAAAGATTCCTAGGGACATCTTTCAGTCAAAAAAAATTCAAAAACCTATCTTCGCCTTAACTCTGAGTCCCAGTGGGTTTAGCATCACAGGCCCAAGGGATAGTACATAGAGACATACAATCAGCGCATCATGCGTTAACTGGGCTACTAGGTAGGATCTTGTGAACGTATGATGCGTTCCTTGGGACGCAGAGAGTTAAAAACAAACAACTTACCCGGCATCATTGGGTTAAAACTGATTCCTGCTGCAGCAGGTACTGGCTGCTGCTGCGGCGCAACGGACGCAAATGTCTTTGAAGGTGACCCTGGTGGTACTGGAGGTGCCAAGGCTAGATTTGCCATTGCCTGTGGCAGATTTTGGGCCCCAGGTGGGCCAACAGGCGCTGAGCCAGGCTGGGCAAGAACTCCACCAATGTTAGCCAATGGATCCAGCTGCCCATAACACTAAATGTTAATTTGCATGGAAGTCCATTGATTGAAACAGCAATAAATTATTTAAATATTGCTAAAATTGATAAAAAAATATATTTATTAAAACCATATTCAATCCATTCTTGTTCTTCTTTCATTTGCTTAAAATAGATTATCTATATTTGCAATGTTGTCTCTAGTATGAACTATTTACTTTTGTAATTTGTAATTCACTCAGCGACCCGTAAAGGTTGACTTGCACTGATGTTTCTCTTGGCCAAAAGTTTTGCTGTAATACGTTGTATTTGGGACAGTCTTAGAGGGCATGATCTGTTGCCAATCCACATGTGCACATGACTGATTCACCGATTTTAAATTTTGTGTATCCATTCTAATTCACAGTAAACAATGCACTAGTTACTTTACAATGCTAAATCACTAGCTAGTACAGATGGACAGATCATCATCAATGCACATCGAACCATTAAGTCCATAAGTGGTAGGCTCTCCTTCTCAGATACTCCTCGAAGTGTAGTCTCTAAAAACGCCAGCTCTGTGTTGGGATATTTATTTTTCTTTGGCTTCCTGATGGTGCTCTTCCATGATAAAAACACACACAGTAATAGTAAAAACACACACAGTAATAGTAAACAAAACACACGCTGTAGAAACAGAAAAACCTCAAGGATAGTTTTGCTCAGATGCATCAACTCTCTCTATACCTCCTGAATATATCCCTTTTTTGGGGTGGTGTAGGACAGACCAAATGTGGTTTGGGGGGGGGGGGGGGGGTCAGGGTTGTGAGCTCAGTGCAGCCAGCCATGGTTCCTCGAACCAGGGTCTCCATTTTAAAGCCAAAGCTTTCAACATCTCAGCCAGCTGTTCTTGTAAACAGCAGTGAAAATTAATTCTGAAGAAGGGGGAGGGGGGAGAGAAGATCATCCTGGTGAACATTCAGATACAACAATCTATGCATGGCAAAATGAGACTATCCATCCTTTATGCAGAAATTATGCTGTTGAGAAAAATAACTTCATTGATATCTGGTCACCTCTTAATTCCCTGTGGGCCATAAACTGGAATGTCATTTCAAGGTTTCTAAGGTTGCCCCAAAGCTTAGTCTTCAGGTCTACTGAATGTAGCCACATATTGCATGACAGCTTATCCATGAGAGGAGAGTTCTTGCAAGACATGTTCTGGAGTTTTTTCAGCTAACAGAGTTATCTGGCTCAGCATATGATACAGACAGTCATGCTTTTACAGACAAGAATACACAAAGTCACTTCTAGCCCCAGTCAACTGTTAAAACTGTGATAATTATACAGCTGGCTAGTCTTCATTTAGAGATATCTCTTTATATCAGTTGTAATAACAACGATATATCATAATACAACAGCATCTACTCACTGAACTGACCATATTCTGAGGTTGGAATGGTGGCTGCTTAGGTGCAAGACCTGACATTGTGGGAGGCATTGCAGACCGCACTTTGTTGATATAACCAGTAGCATTGGTGCACATGGATGTTATAGCGTCAGCAAGTTCTTGTCCTAGGTGCCTGCAATTTAGATCAACAGAAAAAAAACGGAATAAATTCAAAATTTAGATCAGTTAGACTTAAAAAGGTATCAAAAAGGCACAGTGAACAAAACAAACTCACTTTAAACTACACCCCAAAAACAAAATGTTCGATCAAAAGTACATACGGTGTCCACATTTTCAGGCAATTGAGCATCGTGACGACAGTTTCTGGCGGCAGCTGTTGACTTCGAGTCTGTGGAGGCTCCTCTTTCACAGGCATCCCCAGTAACTGGGGGCAACGACGCTTTAAGAATGTCACACAAGCTTGAATGAAAGCTTCCTGCAAAGATCACAACAATGACTTATTAATAGTTGGAAAGAAATGTTCTGAAGTCATGGAAGATTACAATATCTGTATTATAAATTATGTTACCCAGTAACACTCTTCTTCTTCTTGGGTTTCACAAACTGATGTGGAAAGGTCTCACTATCTGTGGTCTTGCTCCACAATCTGAGTATTGTTTGTGCATCCATTTTACAAGGTAGGTGTGTGTTTTTATAATGTATACTGTTGGTTTCTAACATGCACTCACAAGTTAGCCAACTTTAACAACATCACTGTAAAAGGGCAGTGGGTGTATTCCCTCTCCCAAAAATGGAGCTCCAGAACTTACATGGACCAGATTTTTTTAGTAGCAAACACGTGCATTATCACTACAGCAGCTTCTGCCTTGTAACCCCCAATGATCTTCAGCCAACTGACACCAAGTTGTTCTAACTTTTGTCATCATGTGCAGGCTATATTCTATTATCTTTTCTTACCTGACTTCCTAATTTGTTGTGGTCCACCTTTATTCTTCTGAACTATGAATTCCGGTACACAGACATTCTAGACATCTTTTGAGGGGTGCCTAGTTGGTCATATTCTTAGTATACTTGTTTCCAAAGCGAGGCACACACATCATTTTGAGGTGACAGGTTCGATACCCGGGACTGTAACTATAACTTTTGATTTTAAAGTTGTCTGTGTCCTTTTATCTTTCTACTTGCTTCTTTGAGTGTTGATCAATACATTGTTTGTCTGTCAGATGGCCAAAGCATATCATCTGTCGCTCTGTAAAGAACCGTATGACACTATGTAACAATATGTCACAACTGCATGCGGATTAAGGATTGTTCTCGGAGCCATCAAAACCACCCCCATCAGAGAGATAGAAAGGATTGCAGATACTGAACCACTCGAACTCAGAAGACAATACAAAAATCTTTTACAGTATGAGAAAAAAAAACAGACTGAAGTGTCAGAGCCCCAACCACCGTGCCAGAGAACTGTACAGACAGCACCAAGATCTGCATGAAAGAGATGTTGCACTGTGCAAAAAACTTAGGCCAGAACCATTGCAAGCCAGAGAAAGCAAATGTAGTCTTAAAGGTACCAGGGATCACTTGAAAAGATGCCTAGACGGAGACACAACAGAGAACCCTGGCTCTTGCTATGCTTGATGAGAAGTATCCCACCACCACTTGGACTCAGGTTTTCACCGACGGCTCTACTACAGATGCAGTCAGAAAGGGGGAGTTGTGGAATATACATTAAACCCCCTAGCAGTAGAGCAGAAACTCTCTCTCTCTCTACCAGCACGTGACATATGCACTACCTTCAGAGCTGAGGCAACTGCCCTCCTTTCTGCAGTCCAACATCTCATCACTCAAGAACACAGAGGGCACCAAATTGTTATACTTAGTGACTCATCGTCTGTTCTCCAAGCACTATCAAGCAAAAAAACAAGACAAACTAATTGCAGATCTAAAGACCAACATTGGCTTACTCTCCAAGGAAGCAGAACTGGTCTTGCAGTAGATACCAGCCCAGCCCACTGTGGTATTCCAGGAAATGAGAGAGCAGATGAGTTGGCAAAAGCTGGGAGTAATCTTCCACAACCTCATCCACCACACAGCTACAAGGAAACCAAAACAGCGCTAAAGCAGTCTTTTAAGTGGGAGTGGAGAAAGCAGAATGGAGATTACAGACCAGAGAGTGACAGCATAAACAAACTCAACAGGAAAGAACAAACATCAATTTTTAGACTTCAGACAGGACACTGTGGTCTTCAAGCACACCTGGACAGGCATAAAAGAATCTGCTGCCTGTGATTGTGGAGCAGAAAGACAAGACCCCTGAGTACATACTGCCCTAACCTCTCCCAGCAAAGACTGTAGATCTGGCCCAAGGGAGCCACATTGCAAGAGAAGCTATGGGGGAACCGGTGGCGACCTTAAACCCACAATGCTAGTTGTGGCCCAGACGGGACTCAATGTTTAGCATGACTGATTTTGAACGCAGAAGAAGAAGAAAAAGAACTGCATGCAACATTCTGGTTAAAGAATAAGTCAAGAAGTGGAAAAAACAGATATAATTCTTCACCAGAGTTTACAGCTCATTAATGCAAAGAAGAAGAAGAAAATGTTAAATTACCTTATGTTCATTGATCTTGTCACTGAGCCATTTGTCCAACTTCAGATACTCCCGTCTGGAAGCCAGGCATGCCAGATCAATAACAAAGGCGTAAGGGGTCGCATTGAGCAACATCGATAAAGCCTGAAAGAAAGGGGCAAAATGCATGTAATTATCTTTGACTCAGTAACAATCAGTAAGAAAGATGCACAACTGGTAACACCAATAATGAAAATCTAACAATGAGTCCACAGTGAAATTCACTCTTTTCAATGTTTTCTTCAGGTATTTTGGTCTTGTCAAGGTTGTGCCGTTCATATTCGTTACTTGATTTGAGTACAAGTGCATAAACTCTGACAGTGTTTAGACAAGATACTTGATAAGACTCCGACCGGGAGCACATAATTGATTTTTTTGTCGAGGATAGTCAGGCGTACGTAACAAGCAGGGGGACAGATTAGCTGCTGCCGCTCCTTTGAGGGGTGAGCTACTATATGATAAAGCAGAGACGAGGTAAAGGCCTGATGAGATCAAATGGACAGTGACACAGAACAGACAAGTTGTGGGAAGTGGGGAGAACACAGCCAAAATTCTGATCAGGTTGCAAATGGTACTATCAGCATGTTGACTCTTTGTTGGCTGATGAAGAAGGGGGTACATGTGGGAATAACCAGAGTGCAGTGATGTCCATATTTGATTTATTCATCCATCTATTTATTTCAGTGGTTCCCAAACTGTGCGCCGCAGCGCCCCTGGGAAATATTAAAAAATACACCAGTTTTTTTTTTTCAAATCTTTATATGAATAGTCATACTTTTACTCAGGTTAGGGGCCATTCATTTAAAAAAAGCTCTGTGACTAGTAAAAGTTTGAGAAACACAGATTTATATTCTAAACTAGGCTAGAGTGAGGAGCAAACAGAAGGCATGAGCACATCTATCATTTGTACAACTAAAAGCATGGTAGTTTACACAACAACAACAAAAACCTCAAATTCCAGTTAGCTTTACACACATAAAAAGATTAACAAAGAATGAAGTGAATCATCTATCCATGTGTAGGCCACAGGGCAACAGATGGAAGATCATACAATTTACTCACCTTCAGGTCCTGAGCAACATCCAAAATCCGTGAGAGCCGAACCTGGTCATGTGGCTCTCCTCGCATATACCACTCTGCCATGGAGTGCATGATCAGTGTGCGGATGTTACTGGAATGACCCTTGAGTTGAAAGATCCAAAAAGAAAATAATGACATAACTAACACAATAGTTGCAAACCACATTTGTGACTTTGACTGGATTAAAAAATCCCTGCAATCAAATAAGTTTTAATTCTCTACCCTGAGTCAGCATAGGCTTCCACCAGGCTGTATAATTTGGCTTAGGTTATAATTGTGACTAGGTTATGTGCACCATATAAAATGGCTTAGTGCCGCTGGCCATTAAGTAGCTCTGGAAAGAATAGTATTGATGCAACCAAAGGAGACAGACCCAAACACTGTCTCGACCAGCAGTGAAGTTGGGCAGCAGCCCCCCCCCCCCCCCCAGGTGGCCGATGCACCAGGCTAGAGGAGATTCATTATCAGTACATAATACTGAATCAACTCTTCAATGATGATGACATGTGATAAGAATAGGTAGTGTATGTTAATGCAAATCAGGATTAAGAGCCTTCCATGACATTTTATGCTGCCTGTGTGGGTTCTGGAGCCTTAAAGTGGGGAAAACCAGAATAGACCCACTGCCTTCCCAACAATCTTGTCGCAGGAGTTGATTAGTCACAGTACATCTGTGTGAGCGGCAAGAAACCAACAGTATGCATACAAATAAGCAGATGTGTAAAACTGATGTGCACGCAACACTCAAGATCTGGAACAATTCCGGAGGTGAGCAAAAGCAGAGCTTTCTGCCTGAGTTTACAGCCAGCAAGCACAAAGAAGAAGAAGAAGAACTGACAGTGAATCATTAACAATTATCTGCAGAGCATAGACTGTTTTAAACCTTTTGATATCTAGCGATATGGAGATGTCAGGACATTAAACTGGAAGATACCTACGCATTTTCTTCAGATACTATATGACCTTTTGCCATTAGAAACAATCAAATATTTATTAAATATCACATCACATTTTCTTCAAATACTATATGATCTTTTGCCATTAGAAAGAATCAAATATTTATTAAATATCCCTACACATTTTCTTCAGATACTATATGACCTTTTGCCATTAGAAACCATCAAATATTTATTAATTATCCCTACACATTTTCTTCAGATACTACATGAACTTTTGCCATTAGAAACAATCAAATATTTATTAAATATCCCTACACATTTTCTTCAGATACTACATGAACTTTTGCCATTAGAAACAATCAAATATTTATTAAATGTCCCTACACATTTTCTTCAGATACTATGTGACCTTTTGCCATTAGAAACAATCAAATATTTATTAAATATCCCAACACATTTTCTTCAGATACTATATGACCTTTTGCCATTAGAAACAATCAAATATTTATTAAATATCCCTGCACATTTTCTTCAGATACCAAATGACCTTTTGCCATTAGAAACAATCAAATATTTATTAAATATCCCTGCACATTTTCTTCAGATACTATATGACCTTTTGCCATTAGAAACAATCAAATATTTATTAAATATCCCAACACATTTTCTTCAGATACTATATGACCTTTTGCCATTAGAAACAATCAAATATTTATTAAATATCCCAACACATTTTCTTCAGATACTATATGACCTTTTGCCATTAGAAACAATCAAATATTTATTAAATATCCCAACACATTTTCTTCAAATACTATATGACCTTTTGCCATTAGAAACAATCAAATATTTATTAAATATCACATCACATTTTCTTCAGATACTATATGACCTTTTGCCATTAGAAACAATCAAATATTTATTAAATATCCCAACACATTTTCTTCAGATACTATATGACCTTTTGCCATTAGAAACAATCAAATATTTATTAAATATCCCAACACATTTTCTTCAGATACTATATGACCTTTTGCCATTAGAAAAAATCAAATATTTATTAAATATCCCTACATATTTTCTTCAGATACTATATGACCTTTTGCCATTAGAAACAATCAAATATTTATTAAATATCCCTACACATTTTCTTCAGATACTATATGACCTTTTGCCATTAGAAACCATCAAATATTTATTAATTATCCCCATACATTTTCTTCAAATACTATATGACCTTTTGCCATTAGAAACAATCAAATATTATCCCTACATATTTTTTTCAGATACTATACGACCTTTTGCCATTAGAAACAATCAAATATTTATTAAATATCCCTACACATTTTCTTCAGATACTATATGACCTTTTGCCATTAGAAACCATCAAATATTTATTAATTATCCCCATACATTTTCTTCTAATACTATATGACCTTGTGCCATTAGAAACAGTCAATATTTATTAAATATCCCTACACATTTTCTTCAAATACTATATGACCTTTTGCCATTAGAAACAATCAAATATTTATTTAATATCCCTACATATTTTTTTCAGATACTCTATGACCTTGTGCCATTAGAAACAATCAATATTTATTAAATATCACATCACATTTTCTTCAGATACTATATGACCTTGTGCCATTAGAAACAATCAAATATTTATTAAATATCCCTACACATTTTCTTCTAATACTATATGACCTTGTGCCATTAGAAACAATCAAATATTTATTAAATATCCCTACACATTTTCTTCTAATACTATATGACCTTGTGCCATTAGAAACAATCAAATATTTATTAAATATCCCCCGCTCTCACCTGATGGTGCCAAGCATAATGGAGGATTACTGCTGAGTTGGCATGCTGGCCCAAAAAGATTGGCATCAACTTAGAAATAAGATCCTGTTTCAGTCTATTCCAGGTTGGCTGCAGAAGAGAAAAAGAAATAATTATTACCAGTTATCTCTTCTTCTTCGCGTTCACCAGCTGTACACTCTGGCAGAAAGTTCTGGTTGCTCGTCCACTGCTGAACTGCAGTCCTGCTCCAGAACCTGAGTGTTGCGTGTGCATCAGTTTTACAGATCTCATTCTCTTGAATACAGACTGTTGGTTCCTTGCCTCTCCAGCAGATGCACTCCGACTTCAAAGGAAGCTCCCCAATTGGTCGACTCTTACGACATGCTTTTGGGGAGGCAGTGGGTCTATTCTTGTTTTCCCCACACTGGGGCCCCGGAACCCACACGGGGGTATTACCAGTTATAAATACAGCAAAAACATTTTACTGCCAAAGTATCATCCATCTCATCTTGATCCTCTTATATCTTGCGGTGTCAGAGCAAAGTATAATTAATGGAAACGGCTCGTTTGTGTGCTTCGTAAATGGGGTTTTCCATGGGCTCTAGTAATTCCTTTTGCCCATCACTTGCATGGTCAGCCTCTGCTTCGCTTCCCGCCTGGTCTGTACATTATGGCTTGCTGTGGTATCCAGTATATGTATAGTTAGCATCAGCATTATATGGCCAAACCATTTCATATGTTTTCTAATTCAATCCAGAGCTGCAGATCAAGGTATCATTAAAATAACATAATTTTTCTCCGCCCGTACACGTTTACGCCACGTCTAGCTAACAAGGGATTAGGTGTCATGCTGTAATTAGGTCACAGGCTCCAAAAAATTTAAACCAGTTGATTGTATGCCGCATTCATTTTTACAGACTATTCCCCTTACTCTGTAAATTTGTATGCACTGACATTGTGCACTTTTTAAGTGACATGTAAAATTGTTTTTCTAAGGACATTTTCTGGGAAATATCCAACAAATTTTAAAGTTCAGGATGATGGCTTTTTCCTATGTCACCGAGACACAGGTAGAAGATTTAGCAAAAACATGACAAATCCAACATATTTAAACTGATCACTTACTGTAATCTGCAGAAGGGCCAGCACCAATATATCAGGACATTTGGCAATCGGGGCTTTGAAGAGTTCCAGGATCGGTGCATGATGCCCACTGTCTGACAACCGCAGCAGGGTTTCTACGAGACTCAGGCATTTCCTGTAGAATTGAAAAGATCCCTTGATGCTTGGAAGAGTAGTGCTAATTTACAGTCATGAGAGCACGTGTAACTGTGTCTTGCCCATTAAAATAAAAAACGTCAGTCAACTGACTAAATTATAACAACAACAAAAAACAAACAACAGGCAAACTACCTTCTTCAAGAATTGTCACGATTTCAAAACTGACAAATGTGAAACGTGGATAATAAGCAGACATGCAACACTTACTCGTGGCTTAGATGTGGTTTCTGAGAATAATGCAAAGAATACCATGGAAGAATATAAAAACAAATGAATCAGTCTTCGAGGCGGATAAAAGGTCGTAAACTTTTCAGAACATATATATCTAGACAGACTATATTTTCTGAACATTTAAAGACTAAGGAATGGATTTGGGAACTTAGCAATAACTGGAAAGATTTATGGAAAGAGAGCAAAAGGAAGGCAAACATAAGTACCTAGATGCCTGGCCAGATGGATAGGGCGAAAGAAAAACATTGACCTGATCTGTGATTCTGGTGATCGTGTGAGATAGCACACCATGACAGCCTATGCTTACCAGTATGGCACATGATGATGATGACATGTCACTCACCAGGTAGCGATTTCCCGGTCATCCTCATTCGGTGCAGACTTGAGAATGTCAGTAGCCACCGTGGGGGTGTCACCTTTGTGGTCAGCCAGGCAGAAGACATCTGGGTGTTTCAATGCTTGTATCAGGAATGACAGCTGGAAGAAAGGGGGGAAAACAAAGAAGAAAAGACCATCACATAACATGTCAAATATTCAAGAAAAGAAATGACATGCCCTGGTAAGGCAACAGCAGCTTTTAAACCCAGTCGCCAACAAAAAAAATACAACCAGTTGTTCTAATTCTAAACAAGAATCTTAATTAATGCTATTGGATGTGTTGGTGCTTGCGCAGAGTTTAGGAGGCCAGGATATGAATATATCTACTAAAAACAAAAGCATTTAGGGCAGGTGCCTGGTTTCACAATTGGTTTTTATTCAAGCTACACTGACATCAAATTTCTTCCAATCTTAGTGACAGAAGTCACAGCATCAGTCACCCAATATATGGTTTTTGGGCCCTAGGAGATGTATTCCATTTAATGCTACAATCTGTTCACGTTTACTGATTACTCCTTTTATATATCATTATATGCGGGAAGGGGAGTGGGGGGGGGGGGATTTTAAATGAAGAATAACAGCTAAAAGCCTAAAAGTATTTTTTAAACAAAGTTACATGTCTGTAATTTTGATATTTCAATTTTAACACATGCCAGGGAAAATCAGAGAAAACCACTTAAGATATGAACAAAAGCAAGGCTTGTTTCCTTGTGGTGTGCAACAGTATGGAGCAATGTCACCTTTTTAGGCATCTTTTAAGATCTTGTGTTGAGTACCAGGACATTTCTTTTAACAACACATGCAAGGGGCGTTAATAAGTGGATGGACTGCAAGAAGTTCAAAAATACTATCATGCAAGGGTACAAACAAACTGCTTTTTAAGTTGCTTGACAGTGGACCCTTTTCAGGCCTCTGGCTTATTAGGCATACAGTGCTGAGCCTATATGTTCTTAAGTCGGCACCCAATGGGTGATGGGGCTTACATCATGGCAGCCATCTCAACTTTCTAGGACATAACATGGTGCCTATTCCAGGCTGCTATAATGTGTAAAACCAAAGATCAATTCTGAATGCAGAAAAAAATACACCCTGGTACAGGTAGAATCCTGAAATCTTTTGAGCCGGCAAGCGAGGGTCTAATCCCTATGCCTGAAAGACTTCTAAATCTGCATCATTACCCTACACCCATGTAGGTTCTGGAGCCCTATTATGACTAACTGCCCCCCCCACACACACACACAAACACAAGCATGCCGTCAAAGTCAACCAATTAGGGACTTCCTTCTAAATCGATGTACACCTGCCAAAAAGGGAAAGGACTAACAGCCTGCATACAAATTAGTAAAATCTGTAAAATAGAAGTCGCTGAACAACCAGACCTTTCGGTCAGAGATTACAGCCCGTGATCTTAAAGAAGATAATTACCTGTCCCTCGGTGTTATTCCATGGCTTGTAGACCAAGTCTGTTGGAAAAGGTTCCTGGATGCCTCGAGAAATCACATGGACAAGAAGTCTTAAACCTTTCCTACTGGGTATCAAGAAACCTTTATGGTCCAGATGGGAGACAACCTCTCGCCAGCTAAGATGTGGGTTCTGTGATGAGAGACAAATTATTTATTACCTCAGACAAGTATATTAGCATAGAACAGGGTTATTCAACTACGTTCACTCTGGTGCCAACACTCTGAAAATTATAATCGTCTCGGACTAGAGCCCCATTCATTCAGTAGCATGTCCCTCGCGGAACCTCGCTGCCATAACAACCCTCCGGAAAACCTTCCTATCATGAGCAAGATGTCCTGTGTCTGATACACCCATCTGGAGATCATCTGCCACATCCTGCACCCATCTTCTCCTTGGCCTTCCTCTTCCTCTCTTCCCAGGCATATACCCCTCCATTACTGTTCTCTCTAGACTTCCATGACGTTTCAAGTGACCAAAATATTTCAATTTCCTTTGTTTTATTGTCTTTACTAGCCAACCCTCTTCAATATTCAGCTCTTGAAGTATGGATGCATTTGTTCTTTTCTTTACCCAAGATATTCTTAGAACTTGTCTGTAACATTTATTTTCAAATGCATTTATGCGCTGTTCCGCTTGTTTAGTAAGTGTCCAGGTCTCACAGGCGTATGTTGCAATGGGAAAGATGCATGCTCTTAAAAATCTGACCTTTGTAATTCTATCTGTACAATTCCATAATTTATTCAGTTGTTTTAGTCTTTGAAGAGCAATTGATAGTCACCGTTTAATTTCTTTCATTGTGTCACCATTGTTGGTAACCAGTGACCTGGAAAGCCCATCATGTTTCCCAAAGCTTCTGATGTTGTACACAGTCAAATGCATTTTGAATAATCCACAAAACATAACAGATTTACATTAAATACACTTCTCTATTAAAACGCATGTTGAATATATGATCTCTTGTTCCTCTTCCCTGTCTAAATCCAGCCTGAGCTACATTAATCTCTTCTTCCATTTTCTTATGCAGTCTTCTCATTATAATTTTTAGTAGAATTTTACTTGCATGACTGATCAGTGACTAGAGCCCCAGCATGGAAATATCATTAATATAGTGCAACTGGCATTGTACCGCGGGCCGCTAGTTGAATAGCCCTAACAAAAGATATCCATACATAAGTAACAGTCTTATACAAGAAAAACCAACGCTTTATTTTTTTTTTACTACTACCCTTCATTAATGTCCTGATGGAGCCAGACTTCCTTCAAAAATGACCTTGGCTCTCGACTCAGCCTTGAGTGGGTACCCGGTCAAGTGCTGGGAAGTAAAGGTGGCCGGTGTGATGCTAACCACAAGTGCTAAATGGTCTATACAATATAGTTCTCCCCCCATATGCCCGGTACGTCTGAAAGTGCGGAAAATCTTTTACTTTTTCTTACTCTTCAGCAATCATATATTTTAACTAGAGGTTAAACTAGGATATTACAACAGGCTGGTTGGTGACAGCGAGTGTTTCCATTTAACTCACCATTTCTTTGATGATTTGAAGAAAGATGTCTACATTCCATGTGGAAACTCCGGGAACCTCAGGACGGTCACTTGGCTGCTGTTAGAAAAAATACAGACATTTGTCTCAAACAAAGCACAATGTGTTACTGGTTATTCCCCATATGTCTCAAAAATCACATCAAGTGTCTTCTTATATTTAAATTTTGGTCAGTTTATACTAAATAAATTGACCACCATAGGAGTAGCTTTCATTCATTTCTTATTCTTACAACACAGATAGTGGTTAGAGTTCTAGTGGCAATATTACAGAAAAAAAATCATCATTATCTCAAGGGTCCGAAAGATTTAAGAAAAGTCTAGAGACTCATTCTCAGGGAGGTTAGTTATCATGGCAAATACCTAATATAAATCCTATTAGATTTCCTAATGTGTGGTAGGCTCTACAAACCAGATTTTCTAGTACAGGAATAAATAGACAATAAATAAATATATTAACAGGGAACTGAACAAACAGATCAATATATAAACTGGAATAAGAAATCTAACAGCACTGGGTTTTAAATCAAAGGATGGTGAAATATTAATGAGACAAAGTGATCAGATGAACAGAATAATTAGGGGAACTATGATAAAAGATGAGAAGTAGATTTGCAGGACAACAGTGAAGGCCCACCAATACTGGCTGCAGAAGTTAAGGATGCATTGAATTACATAAAGAAAGGAAAAGCATCTGAACCAGACCACAACACAGGGGAAGAAATTGAAAACCTTTCAACATTTTTGAATTGAATAACATTGATAAATGGCATTTGTAATAGTTGGTAAATTCCTTATGACTCGCTGAAACCCATATTTATTGATTTGCCAAACAAACCAGGCGCTCTTAAACATAAGACATTTTGCTCAGGTGACATAACTAGAAATACAAATGCTGTCTACTGCAAGAACAGGAAATAAGATAATGCAGTTACAGCACACAGTGGTGTAGTAATTCGTTACAACACTAACAAGGACTGGAGTACAGTGACTGTAATCTCAGTCTTTAAAGGCCTTATTCTTTCGGTCCCGAGACATGTATGTATCAAATGAAACAGAAACCTACCTGCTGTCCATGCTCTCCTAGCCCGACGGGTGTGCGGACCATCATGCCTAGGGTACGGGCAACAGCGGCCGGGTTGACTTCCTTGGCTCCACATTGAGTTAACACAGTACGGCATTCTTCAGCACTACAAAGAAATTATAAAAATTCAGTCAGTAAAGAGCAACAGATGAGATGGTTTGACCATGTGACGAGAACACCCTAGTATCAACTGTCACTGAGCCTTGCTGAAGAATTATATGATGAACATAAACCAAAGGGAAGAGAAGACCAATGCAAAAACATAGAGCAGAGCATCAAAAACAGCTTTAAAAAATTAAGACCAAATAGGAGATAAGCACACACAGCAGATCCTCACATCTTCCACATACACTTCAAACAAGAAGGATTATCCTAGGATCCTATGACACAGTGCAGACCTGATAAGGAGAACTCAATGGGTACCCAAGAAATGGTTGTTCTTATAAAAAACTCCTCTTATCCAGATAAAAGTACAAGCGAGAAACATTACCGGGAATAAACAAACAGTTCTTGCGACAAAAATTTGCTATACTCAAGATCGCCTTAAGTGATTTGCAATGTACTGCAGGTATGTCAAGACTCAGCTATAGCATTAAAAAATGTCCTTTCTGCAGCCCTTTTATTACAGCTGTCTTACATTTTCAAGGTGGATGCTAGAGAAGCAACTTTACTGCCATAGGAATATCTTATCTCTGAAGAGCTGCTGTTTGGCTGTAAAGAATAACACACAAAGCACAACTGTGTATTCTCCAGGAACAACCCCCCCAGGGATCTCAAGAGCACCTACACTCACGACCCAAAGGATTCAAGACATAAACCCACGAGTTTCAAAGTGTGAGGCAAACACCCCAACCAATACTACTTCTCAACCAAATCACCATAAGGTGAAATTACATTCTGATTTGTAAATCACCATCATGTGGCCTGCCTCTCCACAGTTCTCAGTCCTTGGTATTTTTAACCAATTATACTGATGATAATCCACCATGCCATTGCTTCAGGTTGTCAAGCAACATCTCTCTTGGTCTGCCTCTGCTACCATTAATCTTGCCAGTCATCACGATATTCTCCAATGCCTCTTTTTTTTTTAAATCATATGACCAAAGAACTCCTTTTCCATACTTGTATAAAAGAATTTCAATTTGAACGAGGACCAAAGAAGAAATGATTACATGGACAAGCACATGTGTCCCACATCTGACGAACACAGTGAAGCACTTACTTTAGAGTGCAGCTGTAACCACTTTCCATCATAATTTCTGCAATGCTGACTTCAGTCTGAAAATGAAAGAAATGACGAATGTGAATACACAGCTCTGTGCTATAAATATGTTGGAGAAGCAACAAAAAATAATATTTTTAAAGGAACAGGCTCCTGAATAAACAAAGTATTATTTTCTTCTTATATTCCCTTCTTATAGTTATAGACAAATAATTTTCCATGCCATGTCAAACATCTTTTCTCTCTCTCTTTTCCCACTGTCAAAATGCATTCTAGTCTTCTCCTTCTCATTATATGAACAAAGAACATAGACTGTCTCCTTTTAAAGTTATTTTTATCAATTTTATTTAAAACACCATTACTCTTATCTGTCCAGGGTGTTATCATACCATCTCTGCCGCTTCCACATAATGTTCCACTAATCAATAAACTGTCCAGAGTGTTATCATTTATCTATAATACCATATCTCTCCGCTTTCACATAATGTTCCACTAATCGATCAACGGTCCAGAGTGTTATCATTTATCTATAATACCATACCTCTCCGCTTTCACATAATGTTCCACTAATTGATCAACTGTCCAGGATTCACTTTAAGGAACAGGATAGAAGTTACACATCTCCTTAGAATTCTCCTTCTCCCCTCAATGGACAGTGTTATGTATGAACAATATTATCTCATTCCCCTGGACATTTTATGTCAACAGTGTGCATTTAGATGATAAAAAAGACTGGAAAAACACACAAAGTAGAAGCCAGCTTTACAAGTCTATTTACAATAGACAAAAAAGTTATATATGAACAATAGTACCTCATTCTTTTGGACAGTTTATGCTAATAATGTGCATTTATACTAAAATAAAGAATTGGAAAAACACACAAGTCTATTTACAATGGACAAAAAGTTATATATGAACAATAGTACCTCATTCTCTTGGACAGTTTATGCTAATAATGTGCATTTATACTAAAATAAAGAACTGGAAAAACACACAAGTCTATTTACAATGGACAAACAGTTATATATGAACAATAGTACCTCATACTTTTGGACAGTTTATGCTAATAATGTGCATTTATACTAAAATAAAGAATTGGAAAAACACACAAGTCTATTTACAATGGACAAACAGTTATATATATACAATAGTACCTCATTCTCTTGGACAGTTTATGCTAATACTGTACATTTATACTAAAATAAAGAATTGGAAAAACACACAAGTCTATTTACAATGGACAAACAGTTATATATGAACAATAGTACCTCATTCTTTTGGACAGTTTATGCTAATAATGTGCATTTATACTAAAATAAAGAATTGGAAAAACACACAAGTCTATTTACAATGGACAAAAAGTTATATATGAACAATAGTACCTCATTCTCTTGGACAGTTTATGCTAATAATGTGCATTTATACTAAAATAAAGAACTGGAAAAACACACAAGTCTATTTACAATGGACAAACAGTTATATATGAACAATAGTACCTCATTCTCTTGGACAGTTTATGCTAATAATGTGCATTTATACTAAAATAAAGAACTGGAAAAACACACAAGTCTATTTACAATGGACAAACAGTTATATATGAACAATAGTACCTCATTCTCTTGGACAGTTTATGCTAATAATGTGCATTTATACTAAAATAAAGAATTGGAAAAACACACAAGTCTATTTACAATGGACAAACATATATGAACAATAGTACCTCATTCTTTTGGACAGTTTATGCTAATAATGTGCATTTATACTAAAATAAAGAATTGGAAAAACACACAAGTCTATTTACAATGGACAAACATATATGAACAATAGTACCTCATTCTTTTGGACAGTTTATGCTAATAATGTGCATTTATACTAAAATAAAGAATTGGAAAAACACACAAGTCTATTTACAATGGACAAACAGAGGACAAATCTGGTGATTAGTCTTCATCAGTAGAGTAAAGACTAGAAACAACAACAGCATAAAATGAACTGATTCAAATTAATATACAACTGTTAATAAAAAAGTTGTAAATAAAATTAAACATACCATAGTTTTCTTCATTGTTGAAATATCTGCGAGTTTCTTCCCTGTTATGTCTTCCACACTGGGATATATGAAAGGGCTCACAATAGCTGGAACTCGTTCTCGGGGGAATTCTAATTGTTAAAAAAAATTTTTTTTTAAATCACGGTAATCAAAGTGAATATGCAATAGGACAATGAAATATTACAATCGGCAAGTCTCAATCAAAATCTAAACATCTCTGCGGTGTATCTTCTTCTTCGTGTTCACCAGCTGCAAACTCTTGTCGGAAATTTCAAATTGTTCATCTCTTTCTGGACTTTAGCCTTGATCTTGTTTTTCATGCGCATCTGTTTGATAGATCTGACTTATCTGTATGCAGACTATCAAATCTCAACTCTCAGGCAGATGCACTCCCGACTCTGAAAGAAACATTCCTAATTAACCGACTCTTATGACATGCTTGTTTTAGGACAATAAGTCTATTCTCTTTTCCCTCCACAATGTGACCGCTCAACTCAGATGTGGGGGACAGAAACACATAACCAGATGTAGTTTCATTCTCAAACATAGCTTACATAATGAGAAATAAAGACAAGAAAAACACGAACAACAATTTTACCTCGTCTGACAGCTTTGAGGAAGGTGTCCAAAGTCTCTTGCGCAATGCCAAACTGTTCTCTCTGTGTGACCAGGTGGGACAGCAGCAGGTGGAGGATCTCTATGTCAGAGTCTTGGAGCCCACCCTCCTGACGACCGGTATCTGAGACATACACATATCACATCAGGATAGATCCACACACAATCAAATACACATATGACATATTTCACTATGAAGATACATAATATTGGAGGTGTGTTCAAAACTCAAGGAGTCCTGTATCTTCATTCTTACACAGAAGAGCAACTATATAGTCATGGAAAGTTCTAATTGTCTGTCCACCTCTGGACTTTAGTCTTGTTCCAAAACCTTAGTGTTGTGTGTAAATCCATTTTACACATCCTGACTTATTTGTATGCAGACAGTTGGTTCCTTCCCTCTCAGACTGTGATATAGGACTATAATGATATGATATTAAAGCAGTACATTCACATAAAGCTAAGGCTAGGATACCCTCTGTCCAATACAACTACAAGAGACAATAAAGGACCACTTTCCACACCTTTGGACATTTTGGGGCCTATATATGGATAGACCTATATTTTAAAGACCAAAATGGCACATTGACCATCTTTACTTTCAATGACTATACCTGGTAACCGTTCAATACGGGGACAACCAGACAATAACAAGATCTCAAATCAAACGCACAATAAAAAATCTTTGCAAAGGAGCCTACAATATGCTGACTACAAGACTGTCAGAGACATAGCAGCTGACCAAGTTTAAATACACCTAAAAAAGACTGTTCTATCATTCAAATGTATGTTTGTTATTTACGACTGCCTTTCTAGTGCCAAACTGTTTGTGTTGGCCCTTACTGCCTTTTGTACTTAATTTGTGTGTATGCTGTTGGCTTTGCCAAGACTACAGTCTCTGTCAGGCATAAGGGACAGTGAAAGACATTTTGTGTGGTTTTGGTTGGCACAGGAACATAGCAACAATGAGGTCGGTCATCCATTTGCAGTGATACTGGAACTGCAATTACCTGATCTCAAAGCTAGTGCGGAGACGTGTCCCTGCAGCCTGGCACCCGAAAATGCTGAACATTTGCTTCAACAATGTCAACTGTATGCTGACAACAGTGACTCAATCTAGCCTGTTCCAACCACAATGAAGACAAAGCTGTATGGTAAATAAGAACCGCAAGATAGCTTTCATTGAGGCTACCGGCCTCCTGATAAAAGGTTTTCTGACAGATGGAACAAATAAGCGAGTAACTTACCAACATCCACGTATGATCTGATTAGTTCTGGGAGCTTCTGCTTCGCAAACTGGAGTGCAAAGTTGACAATATCAGTCTTGAAAGAGTTGAGTAGAGCGAGAGCTACAGCAACCTCTTGCACCCGGGATAGGTGCAAGACTCTGCTGATCTGACTAAAGAGGTGAGGTGATGGTTTCAAACTCTGTGGATGGAATAAATACAATTACTTCAACACTAGAACTTTATACAATAGCAAAATTTAATGAACTATTATATTACTAGTATATGTGGGAAGTACTGAAGTGACATTGATCAATCAACTAACAGCAGAACACACAAAAATATCATATCCTGGTGGAACAAATATTTATGTTTTGCACTTTAACAGTTATTTAAAAAAAAAAAATTAAAAAACAGTGGCAGTAACATGCATTCGCAAAACCAACACAGGGAGGACTGTTGCTCAGTATGTCTTCTTTAGACCATGCTCTTGTCTTTCAGCATCAAGTTTTGAAGAGGCATCTTATGAAAACCCTGGTGTGGTCTGCTTAGATGCTGGTATTTAACTCTTTGAGTTCCAGAGGGTTTAGCATCACAGGCCCCCGGGGGTAGTAAAGAGCCATAAAATCGGCGTATTATGCGTTCATGTGCGTCTAGGTAGGAACTTATGAACGTATGATGCGTTCCTTGGGACTTAAGGCCTCAGATATTCCATCTATTCTATCCATCACTTGCATAAGCAACATCAGCTGCTAACTGAAAATGCTCTATGTAAGGCATTATCTTGTGGTTGTCTTGAAAAATGTCTGAACCATTCGATCTGTGGTTCGTGATGTCATTTATCATCAGTCCCATCCCAAACTGTTTCCTAATATCACCATTTCCGATTCCGTCCCTTCTTGTTACATTAAATGACAGGTGAAAATTTGTCTTTCACTAGTTTGTCTTAACAACTTACTTTTGGTCCTAACAGTAAAAGGGACAGTGCACACAATTCACAACAGTAGTAAAATATATAAGGGTACATTTCAACCACAGATACAATTTACTCACAGTCTGCTGTTGAAGAGGGTTGTCGATAGAGTAACAAAGAATAGAAACAAAGTTCGGTTTGGTGAGCAGGGATCCAAATTCTTGACTCAGAAATTGTATCTGAAAGTATAAAGCATAACAGTCAATCAATCAGCATGTCTTTTGAACAACGTCACTTTCTTTATAGCACACCCCACAATCTCTAGCCTACTTCCCAGCCCTGTGTGCTTTCACAGTCAATATATCTTCAATGTCCTGTGTCTGCTTCCATGGAGGTCTGCCTCACCTCTTTTCTGGAAACTGCATCATCCATCACCATTCTTTCCAGACCACCAGGCCCATAACAAATTTGTAATAATAATACATTTTAATAACAGATAATGTGTAAGGGGTTTGACACATATGCAGTATAGAGGCAAGTGATTCAGATATTATTTTAAATGTATATAATACCTGATAGAAGTCCTTGCCACTGCTTTTACCATCTCCGCTGAAGTCGATGTACGAGAAAAGGCACCTAAAAAGATGCCTGTCGGCTTCAGCTCCGTGCTGGTTCACAAGCTGAAACATTTGCAGAAATATGAGAACAGAGTAATAATCACAACTGATGCTCCACACTTTAAACAAAAAAAATTATTTACTACAAAATAATTTGGGAACAAAGGGTGATTGTTGTTATCTTCACAGTATCCAAAAAAGTGTTCCCTGTGACAATGATCACAATACTTCTTTGTGTTCAGTTTTGAACGTTCAGGACAAATTGCCATGTGGTTTGCCTCTATGAATGTGCATGTCAGCTGTAGGTCCTTTGTGGTTCCCCATATCTTTCTTTGTCCCATTTGCTCTTCAAATGATGACACACAGAATCCACCTGTTGACAACACCTAGCTCATGCCACTTATCCTCCAATGGAGCATAGGTCCTTAACCAAATCACACTCTGTAGACTTTGTCAATTTGCAACAAGTCTTCTGTCTACATGATGAAGCAAACCAGTGTTAGACAACCATGCTTAGCTGGCTTGTATTAGGAGCAAGGCACGTAATATTACTACTGTTTGCTTCATTTATGCCAAAACATAATAATGACTCTGTGTGGGTACAGGGCCCCTATTAGAAGGTGGGTGGGGGGATGGGGATAGAACCACCTCCCTTTAACGAAACATTGTACAAGATGACTATTAAAGGGCACTCCCTTCAATGTCGGAGTACACCTACCTGTGACGTGAGGAATAACCATTCACATATGCCAGATTTGTAAAAGTGATATGTAAAACTGTTCTGGAACGAGACCAAATTTCAGGGTTGGAAAAACCACCAGAAGTTTGCATGCAAATCCATTTTACAGATCTTTTTGATCTGTATGTAGACTGTTGATACCTCACCTCTCGGGAGATGCACACTTACTTATCACCACCTACAATATGCTTATTAGGAGGGGTAGTGCTCTGAAGCTTTGGTGACTGTTCTAGGTGTGCCACTTGGCAGGTGAGAGAACAGGTCATACAGGATAACACCGGTGCAATGAAGTCGATCCTTTCTAATTTGAACAGAACAACTGGCACCTGACTGCTGATGTCGATATCATGCTAGTCACCTTTACTTCCCAGGACACCTGATACCCATTTTTATTTCAGGCTGGGTCGACCTGACAGCCAAATTCATGTTTGAAGAAAAAGAATTCAACAATAGAGATCTGATCCCACGACTTTCAGACCCACATGTGCTCCTCCAGCTGCTACACCACGGCGGCTCCTATGACAAAGCATGGTACTGGACAATTAGGGCCAGGAATGAAGTTCCTTCTCTTTAAACTATATCCTGGCAAGTACAGTTAAGACCATGCAGCGTGATCCCTCCCTTGGCCAGCCAGCATTACTCCAAAGAATGCCTCATGCGCTGTAAAGATGCCTTACCATAACCATATGGTAATCTTAGTTTCAGCTTCATAGCAAACGAGTCACCCCATAGTTGCTCCTGTGCCAACAAAAAAACACACAGAATGTTCATCGCAGTCCCTTGAGGAAAGACTGACAGACTGCTGTCTCAGAAGATGCACTAGTAGCATACACACGCATTAAAAGCACACAGTAGCCATCAGAAGTGCTAACACAAACAGTCCGACATTAGAAATACAGTGATTTGTAGACCATTTTCACAGACAACTAGCCAAGAATTATTTTATTTCATGGCAATAAATGCTTTTAGCTTAAGCCACAGATATACTATAAATCAAGACAATCCTGTTTAACATTCCCAAACATCAGTCAATATTAAGTTTTTTTTTAAAAGTTAAGGGCTTTTTTCATGAATTGAAACATGGTGCAATATCAATCTGCAATCATCACGTCACCACTCTTAATTTCCTAACCATTTCCTATCTATTTTAATCTTAGTGTTTTCGGTTATCCTTCAAATAACGGTCCCAAATTATCTAGGCCTAAAAAATACCATAACAGGGCCTCAGTCATATGTAAATTGCAGATCTCTTTCTGGCGACTATACTGCCACTGCCGAGAGTATACCCCGTGCTGCTACCAGCAAAAAAAAAAAAATGGAGAAAGCTGCAGGAGATGCGGTAGCTGCTGCTCCTGAGTCCCAGGGATCTAGTTTAGCCCCCTTCTGTGCGGCGTGTGGAGCGGGGAAAACTCTCAGCGGAAGCTTTTCCGCGGTATGTAGTGTAAACGTCAGAAAGAGGTCTGCAATGTACATATGACAGAGGCCATGTTAAGGTATTTTTTCAGCCTTGATAATTTGGGACGGTTATTCGGAGGATAATCAAGACCAAAGAACATAAATTGTCTTGTCTCTTACTAATGACTGCCTTAATATACCACTTTTTAATGACTGTGTAGACTGTGAGGCAAGGGATTCATTAATCAGTATTAACCGTCTGGTTATGATTGATTTGCATGTGTGAGAATATTCATCATTAACTAGGAAAATTACAGTTAACCACTGGTTTTAATAAGACTTTCATGGCTGCGCAGGGAATTTCTACTTCTAGCATCAGTTCTAGTTTACATTACAGGAATACATAGCTATCTTCACAGATGCAAAGTCAGTTGTCTCAGCACTGAAGAGCAAAAATGATACAGAACTAGCAGACCTTAGAGCTGCACTCCATGGACTGAGTCTGAAATCAAAAAGAGTCATAATACAATGGATTCCATCCCATTGCAACATACCTGGAAATGAAGAGGCTGACAGATTGGCAAAGGAAGCTGGAAGAACAACCACAGCCTGATATAGACATAACATATGATGAGGCCAAGAGGTTTATAAGAAGCACATATAGAATCAAATGGGATTCTGAACATCCAGGCTACAAAAAGGATGATGCATACTACCAACTTGGCCGAAGAGACCAAGTAGTGATCTTTAGACTCCGCACAGGACATAATAGGCTGAAACACCACTTGTTCAATAAACTAAAGATAGGAGACAAATGATGATTGTAACTGTGGAAAGGGTAAAAATGGCTAAACACTTGCTGCAAGAGTGTCCAATATATGCAGAACAGAGAAAATTATTCTGGCTAACACCCACAACTTTTGAGGATAAACTGTGGAGATGTCAACAACCTCAAGTTGACTGCTGATTTCTTCAAATATATCCACACTGACATCTGAAGGTATAAGAAGAATAAAACTTTGGGATTCTCTGAGCTGAAAGTCCCTAGAGATGCAGAGCTCGTAAACCACGAAAAACTATAGTGGCTAAGGAAGATGATAGTCCCTAGAGATGCAGAGCTTATAAACCACGTAAAACTATAGTGGATGAGGAAGTCCACTGCAGTAAAAGTTTAACATGCAAAAGATGCAAAGTACTCATTTTGTGGTGTAGGTAAATTAAATCCTAGGTCTGCAGGCTGCATACTGTTGGCTGCAAAAGAGATAGCCCATGATGTATGAGATGTTCAATATATGGAAGTGAGGTTAAACAGTCATGAGCAGGACGTGACGATTCCTTGGGTGAGCCCAGTACCAGAGCACCATGTATTAGCTCTGCATTTGTGAAAGCCTCCTTGGATGGCGGGGAATGCTCATGTTCTGCCCCTGCCTTCTCTTGAGGGCTGATCAGCATTATGTGGCTTCTCTGGACCAGCCTGATTGGGGCACCACCTGTGACCTAGGAAATAAAGATGACCACACAACAATGAGACTGCCATGTCCTAACCGGGAAGGCTAACCCGGTCAACAAAAGCCTGCAGAAGTCGGATGTGTTGGCCAAAAAGTGCAAATATCGCAGCCATGCTGTAAACGGACACAACGCAATTACATCTTTGGATGAACGCAAAAGAAGAAGTTTACATTACAGAGACAACAAAACAATGGGTAGACAATCTCATGAGCACACCAGACAAGCATGGAGAGGAAGTCATATATGGCCAACTAAGGAAACATGTATGCAGCGACTACGGTGTTCAGAAATTTGCGGTCTTTTTGGCAATTTCCATTACAATGGAAACCGTTTGAAACTTGTTTGGGAAATGTCGGCTGGGGTTTCGGGATGGGTCCTAATCTCTCATGAAATTTTGCGTTTGGTGTGATTTTCACCAGCTATAAATAGCTGAAAACTGCGGGAACGAACCCGATTAACAGCGCACGTCTATGACAGCCGGACGTCCTCTGTTTTTCTGTTACATCAGTTTGATTGAAAATAGCAGTAAGTATTCAAGGTTGGCTTTAGGCCTTAAACATTACCAGACATGGTAATGCTAGTTATAATTGAATTCTCCGTCCAATTTTACATTTGTATATAAAATTTCTTTCCTAGGTATGGCTAATTCGATTTACAGTGACATTTTTCAGGCAATCGCTATTATGTGGCTGTGTCTGAGAAAAATTGTCTGCCATCTTGTCCAATGTAAAGAAAGCCAAAACAGAAGTGCGCAGTTTAGTTGCGCAGAGAAAACTTCTTGTTTCTGGGACGCAAGTTTTCAACAGCTGTTTTTTACATCTCATAATCTCCACAAAAACCTACATATCTCAGCTCAGAAATGACATACAAGCCTAAATGAGGTACTGTCGGAAAAAGAGATTGTTTACAGCTATCTAACTGTGCTGGTTTTATTAATATTAGTGTAGAGGGAATTTTAAAAATTTGACTAAAGTATCTAATGTATGACTTCCAAATGTAACTTCAACTTATAAATCAGGAGGAAGCCAACTTAGATGACCCAGTCCACTGGAAGTTTCAGAAGATTTGAACAAATAAGCCATTTAGTGTTGCATGCAGGTTAATGGTAAAATTCGCTTAGTTACACTGTCTAATCTAAATTTGTCAGGAATGCTGCATTGTCTGTCCTAATTATAAACTTCAAGCGTTTTGAAAAAAGGTTGAACCAGCAGTTTTTGGTATAATTTCAACAAGTGTTTACAATATTTTCAACTGAAAACTTACATTGGTCACTAAATAGAAAATTAACTAGCATGTTTCTTTAGCTACTACTATAGTTATCACTCACCATTATTTCAATTAAACTATATAATGATATTCATAATTAACTCTACCAAACCCAAACGAACAAAGAAACTGAAACCACAAAAACTAATTCAAGGTTGAAAGACATACACCGAATGCAAATATATACGAGGTACAGATGTGTTTGATTTGCAATAACAAAACAGAGAACGTGTTAATTTTAAACGCTAAAACGTAAATCAAATGTGTCTTACATGATTTATAGCAGCAATACTTTGCTTATAGTTTTTCTTAGTCAAGTTGGCAACCGTATAACTTATTTCAGATAACGCAAATGAAAGCGGGTCCAAATTCATATTACTCCATAAACATCAAGTCGAAAGCCCCAAAAGTCATTTGAGGCTTTCTTGAGATAACAAAAATAAAAGCTGTATTTAGACTGTTTTTCTTCGGAGATAAAACTGGGTAGCTTGTGGGCCAACATGAGGAAAGCCACAAGGTTGAGTCTACATATTCACACCCATCGACATGGCGTCGTCGCAGCCATGTTTGGACTTTCACAAAGGCAAGAATGACAGACCGGAAGTGTGAGCCCACGTATTAACACAAGAACACAGGCCTGATTCTTCTCCTCGTACAACCAACGTTTCGCATTTAAAAAAAAACACCTTTACTCTTCTTCTTTTTCTTCTTCTTTTTAGCTTTCACCCGCTGTAAACATCGGCCAAAAGTTTCGGTTGTTCGTTCACTTCCGGATTTTGGTCTTAGTCAAAAATTTGAGTTTCGCGTACATTTCCGTTTTACGTATTTTGATAACCTATCCCGCATACAATGAAAATCCACAACTCACGGGAGGCTAATGCTGGAGATGACCACACAAGAGTAAAACGCCTGTAATTTGTTGTTTTGAAAGAAGAAGAACAAAGATATGGCCTGTTCGTGTGTAGCCTGATAGTTCTACTTCTATCCTGCAGATGCACTCCGACCTCGAAGGAAGCACGAACAAGCCCTAATTAGTCAACTTTTGTGACCAATTTGTAAAAGAAGCAATTCCCCCGCTCCCCTTTTCCACCCCAACCACACCCCCCCCCCTCCCAGAACTCACACAGGGACTTTTCTCTGATACCACGTTCTCCTGAGAATGTTGAATTGGGAATCGATATGACAGCACTCGTGACACTCCCATAAGCGCTCCGTCCCCATATTCAGAAGCCAGCGAAAAGTTTCAATTCTGAAGTTACCAGTAACTGATTGTATGTCCGTCTTGCCCTTCGACTAAGCCTGAAAATGAGACCTACACAAAAACAATAAGCCTTGTTAAGATTTTTCAGTGTGCCACTAATAGGGAAAAAAGGTTTATAAGTCGAGAAGATCATACAGCTCAGTCTCCCTAATATGCATATTATTACATGAACATAACATGATTTTTTAATGAGATACAACTGCTATGTAAGAGATGGGAGTTTGGAAGGGCCGAATGTAAGACAGGCCTGCGTGCCTAATTTGTAACCCTTTGAAAATAAAGTTCGTTCGTTCTTTCGCAGAACGGCTAACCACTTGCCGAGAGCATCTCAAAAAGCACGATATCCGTTAAAATTGCACTCGGGAACTAACCGACTCGGCTGTGAAACGAACCCACGACATTCAGAGCGCGAGGCAAATGACCTGACCACTTCGCCACGAAAAAAAAAGTCTCAGTTGAGTGACTTAAGTGACGAATTCGTGAGATAAATCATTGGCAGCTGTGTTACCTAATAGACTGCGAGCAGGTCATTGGTTCTGCCGGAAATGGGCGTCACAAGAAATTATCAGACCAGAATTCGTGATTATAGAGTTAAGACGATGTTCCAGAAAACGATGACATGACTGTATTTAAGTCAAAGTAGAATTATACACATTAATAAATGTAGACTTTTGTATCTAATAGAAAAAGACATTCCTAAAAAGACAGAAAAGTCCTAGTGCATTTTTTGAGAAAAGGTTAATGTAAGAAACTTGTTTCATTTTCGGGGAAGCACGGTATTTACAAAAAAAGTTGCTTTCTGAGTTGCTACAGGACCTAAAAAAGTAGGTCATGGTTGCTAGGTGGCTGGGTCCGTGGCTTAGGTGTTGCGAGTCCGACTCGTAATTCCAACGTACCGCGTTCGAAACCCACTGCCAGATTTTTATCACATTGTTGGGCATCGCAGGTCGACCCAGCCCAAAATGGGTACCAGGATGTATGTTCTTGGGAAGCAAAGACGGCCGGCGTAAATATTATTACCCACCTAGTGTCGATTGGTCTGTAAAAAATATGGATGCTCTTCCCATATGGCCGATGCGCCTAAAGGCGTAAAAGGGGATCTTTACTTTACTTTTAGGGTTGCTAAGTATTAATGCTGCAAGCTACAAGCCCAGAGGACTCGAAATCTTCTTTCTTTTCTTTTTCACTTCTGTTTGTACCGTTTTTTTTCCCTGACCATTATTACTCCTGTGTGACTGCAGATTGTATCTGATTGGTGTGGCCTAGAGCTGTAGGCTAATTATAACTTTTCTGGAAGTTGGTCTGGGTTATGCGTCGTTGTTCTGCCATTCTGATTGAGATTGTTTAATCTCGGGTATTATGGTAAATCTCTAGGGAAAACAAACAGATCCATCGATCGATCTCTTTTGGTCACCTCAACCATTCCTTGCATTGCCGAGTGTTGCAGATAAGGCTAAAGGTGCTGCAGGCTAAGTTATATCTCAGAGTAGCTGTAGACAAAGAACACTATCTGCAGGTAAGGGTCAGTGGCTAAAAAGTGTCCGACTCACACTTATGGCCAGTTTGCCTTGGAAAGCATAATACTGGTCACATATACGAAAACTGACAAATGAAGGTGGAATTCTGCACTAGAACTGATCTGCGCATCACAAACTCCTTCGTGATAACTAAAGACTTCTTAAGGTGTCGTGAGAATAACCTAGATCCGGTTACTGACACCATGTGGACCTTATTTTCACAAGAAGACAGCAACTGAATCACATATCGCGAACTCGCAATTGTCACCGCGGGACTGACAAATGCCATTTCCTGTTTGATTGGAACCAAAAGTAATTTTCAGATCAAGAAAAAAATCGATTTATAAGTTAACTATTTCTAAAGACCCTGAAAATTTTTTGAGTTCTAACAATAGCTTGAGTTTGCTTTCACTGATATCAATGACGATTCAACAGCATATTCGAAATGGGATGCAGTTAAAGAGACAGTCTACGCAACAACTGCAAAAATCTATGGCATTGTGGGGAAAAAAATAAGAATATCTGCAGACCCACTGCCTCGCCAACAAGCATGTCTTATGAGGCGACTAATTAGGAGCTTCCTTCAAAGTAGGAATGCATCTGCCCGAGCGGTAGGGAACAACCAACTGCACACAAGTAAGCCAGGAAAATGGACGTGAAAGCGAAACTCAGGTCCTGGCACAACGCCAACATCCAAATGGACGAACAACCAGGATTTTCCACCGAAGCTTACAGACGGTGAGCAAACAAGAAGAACAGAAGACTTGTTTAAGGCAAAGAAACAGACATTCCAAGCTTTGACTGATAGGGAAAAAGCCGGGCTTCTTTGGAGCAATGAAAAAATAACAAGGAACACTTTAGCGAACTTGAAAGAAGCTGGGAATCATTTGCAAAATGTAGCCAGACTGCGGCGGAAATGACTACTGCATCTAAAAAAAAAAAAAATACAAAAACATTCAAAATACTAGCAACAGTAGACATTTAAGAGCAGCGATTCTCAGCCTGTGGGTCTCACCCCCCCCCCCCCCCACACCCCCACTTTTTTTTGGGGTCGTTCGGAAAAACATTTTCATGGAAGTTATAAAGTAGCAAAGAAAATAATTGTATAGTTTTGGGGAAAGGAGAGGGGGGGGGTCGCCACAGCAGGAGCAACAGTATTAGAGGTCCCTGAGTGGGTTCCAGGGCCAAATTGGGAGGAAAACAAGAATAGACATACTACTGCCTGTCCAAAAGCATGTCGTACGAGTCGACTAATTGAGAGCTTCTTTCGAAGTCGGAGTACACCTGCCTGAGAAGCAAGGAACTAACAGTCTGCATGCAAATTTGTCAGATCTGTCAGGTTCTGGAACAGAACTAGAGTCCAGAAGTGGACAAACAACCAGAACTTTCCGCTGGAGCTTACAGCCGGTGAACACGAAGAAGAAGTAGAAGAAGTAATAAAGGGTCGCGTCATTAGAAAGGTTCAGAACCACTGTTTTAGAGAAACGTATGAGGGGATAAAGAAAAACATCGGTCGATCTATGAAAAGAAAACTCGAAAACAAAACCGACCTGTCAGGAAATTATTACTGATACGAAGAAGCCAATGGTTAGTTGGATTGAAGACTATACATCTTTCCTTAGTTTAGACAAAGCTGAAAGTGATATGTTTATTTATTTTTTGTTGGGGGGGGGGGGGGGGGGGGGGTGAAATATTTGATTTGTGCTTTTATACGGCGAAGTTTAACAAATCATAGGTAGCCGAATTAGGGTGTGCTCACTTGCTTGATGTGATGTGACGTTGAGTCTTACGCTGTCGGGCACATCTTAAGCCCAACTTCTTCGACCTCTACATCTCACTCGTGGATTTCAGTCTGTTATGCATTTCATTTTGTAAACTCCCCACCCCTCCCACATATGTTTCAATGTTAATAAACTCACTTTCAGCTAAAAACCGAGGAAACCCACCAAAGGCCACCCGACGCTCTGAGGCAAACCAGCTAAAAGGGCATTGCACAATAAGGGGACCAGAACATGTGGAATTCCAGGCTACCACGCTTCCCTGATAACTTCACCCGTCCCTCCCCACATATATCTAAAATGTAATCCAGTCTATTTTCAGATCTACCCAGGCAGAGCAGGCAGTGTGCAGGACTCAACTCACCAAGGACCTCTTCCTCAACCTAGCAAGCTATCTGTCGCTCTCCATCTTCCGACCTAACTATAAAATATCTTTGCACTTTCGGGCGTTCTAATTTTTTTGCAACCTTTGTTACCTCCTCTACTTATCTAAAGGCTGCACACAACAACAAGATTGTGACAGTCGTCCTGTGGGGGCCGTGTTTTAGGGCGCTCAGTATGCGGAACTGTTTGTTTCGTGGCGGTGTGACTTCGGACTGACTTGGTGCTAACACAGATGAACAGTGCAAAAGCTAGCGAATAGCCAATTAAACAGGAACCAGGCCCCTCAGAACCAGAACTTAGGCAACAAATGAACAAACTCAGGTGAAAGTGATCACCACAAGGAAGATTAATAAAATAAGATAGCAAAGGAACCGTCCTTGAAAAAGCAGGCCATCAGGCGGCTAAAAAAGGACTAAGCTTGAAATTTTTGTTTG